TCACTGACGTCAAAGTCAATCTCTTAGTCCAGTAAGATAAAATGTTTAATTTTTGAAGAAGGTTTACACAGGTATACAAGGTAAAACACGGGCAGTGTTATAACATAAAGAAGGATCATGATCAGAACATTGTTGATTATTTTGTAATTGATTGAACACCAAAATATTTTTACATGGTTGTTGACGGAAATTTTCTGTACGTATGTCTTATTTCACTGATTTCTCAAATGTGTCACGTTGTAGTTAGTTTTTCATGTGCATTTTAGCATGCTTATGTCCTGTTAAACTATGGCCTGTGCAATATTGAACTCGTTCAATATTTTCTTACGGAATCAATGAAATTAAGAACTTGCATTTCAACGTAAGTTTTCAAATTTTGAATGATAGAATCGTTTGCGAATTAAGTTTTTTGTTGATTAAGTTTTCTAAAAAAAAGTACCTTATTTTTCCTCTCCAGATGCAGTTAAAAAAAAAAAAAAAACTTGCTTTTTCAAATGTTAAACCCATTTATACTCAATTTTTTTTTTTTAAAAGACACATGTAAACTAAAATCTGATGTCATATTTTTACCTATGCTGAAAAAAATCCCATTATGGAAAAAGTAATGGGATCAGAAACATGGAGAATCAAAACTCCACTTATGCACTGTAGGGCAATGTATTTGCCCTAACAAAAAAATACTATAGTTAACACTTTGAAAACTTTAATTTACTATAGTGATAACTTTGACACTTTGAAAAACTTTGACGAAAACTTTGACACTTTGAAAAACTTTGGCGAAAACTTTGACACTTTGAAAAACTTTGACGAAAACTTTGACATTTTGAAAAACTTTGGAGAAAACTTTGACACTTTGAAAAACTTTGGCGAAAAATTTGACACTTTGAAAAACTTTGGCGAAAACTTTGACACTTTGAAAAACTTTGGCAAAAACTTTGACACTTTGAAAAACTTTGGCGAAAACTTTGACACTTTGAAAAACTTTAACACTTTGAAAAACTTTGGCGAAAACTTTGACACTTTGAAAAACTTTGGCGAAAACTTTGACACTTTGAAAAACTTTATCGAAAACTTTGACACTTTGAAAAACTTTATCAAAAACTTTGACACTTTGAAAAACTTTATCGAAAACTTTGACACTTTGAAAAACTTTATCGAAAACTTAGATACTTTGAAAAACTTTATTGAAAAATTTGAAACTTTGAAAAACTTTGTCGAAAACTTGGATACTTTAACACTTTGAAAAAGTTTATTGAATACTTTGACACTTTAAAAAACGTTTATCGAAAAATTTGACACTTCGAAAAACTTTATCGAAAACTTTGAACCTTCGAAAAACTTTATCGAAAACTTTGACACTTTGAAAAACTTTATCGAAACTTTGACACTTTAAAAAACTTTATCGAAAACTTTGATACTTTTAAAAACTTTATTGAAAACTTTGATACTTTGAAAAACTTTATTAAAAACTTTGATAATTTAAAAAACTTCACCGAAAACTTTGACACTTTGAAAAACTTCACCGAAAACTTTGACACTTTGAAAAACTTTGGCGAAAACTTTGACACTTTGAAAAACTTTGGCGAAAACTTTGACACTTTGAAAAACTTTAGCGAAAACTTTGCCACTTTGAAAAACTTTGACAAAAACTTTGACACTTTGAAAAACTTTGGCGAAAACTTTCACACTTTGATTTACTATAGTAAACTATAGTTAACTATAGTTAACTATAGTATTTTTTTGTTAGGGTGCTATGCAAGTGAGTTAAAGTTAAATATGGGCGTTTCTATGCAAATGAACTAATAAAATGCATACTTAGTACCCACAGCACATTATGAACATTCTTTCCCATTCAAGATATTGAAACGAATTATGAAAACTTCGTCAGTGCAATGGCATATTCTATTTTATTTAAAATATATGCATTTGTAGTATCTTCTTATTAATTATACAAACATACACAGGGAATATATCTTCATTTCTGTATGAAGTTTGTCAGAGGTCCGAGGTCAATACATGGCCGAATCACACAGCGCAAAAACGTATACATATATAAATATAAAATAACTTGCTCTACTTGCTTTTCATGCATAAAAAAATAAACCAAAAAAGCAAGTAAAATAATTGTTTTATTTATAACGTAAACAAGAATTTCATACATTATTGGCGATCGATTTTAAATGTGTACATAGAGAATATACCGATAGAAACTATCCTTTGTTTACAAGTTTTATGTCACTTTTGTCAGCTGCACAGTCTCTGACGTTTATCCTTAAGTTGAATCTTCATTATAAACCATACTTTTTTTTTTTAAAAAATTCTACTCACGATAAATATGTAAAACTGTTGGAAAAAATAAAAGCATTGCAATCACGCCACAAACAGCTGACAAACACCTCGGCGCTGTTCAATGTAAGCTGTCGCCAGTGTCTCCGTGTTTACATCATAAATATGCCTTTAGTTACGGAAATCGTAAATTGTATGTTTTTTGTATCAAATTTAAGAATTGATTGCAAATTATCTGGTTCGGACCAGTGTCTCCATCCATCGAGAACCATCCGTTCCTTTTAGGCGACCGAACTTCCTCCAACTTTTTATCATCAATCTTCGAAAGTGTTTCCTACGTCTTTCAGCATTGATTATCAATTTTCACAAATAAAAATATTCAACAACAACAATCGGTTCACTATCACTGATCACAAGTGGCCTTTCACAAAATATTGTCTACGAAATGTAGTCCTTCGCCTGACGAATTTGAAGCGTAACCGCCTTTCAAGCCGATTAACACCTTGCGTACTTTTGTCGGAAATCTACGGCGACCGGTTCGTGCAATATTTATATATATTAAATTGTCCATCTCAAATGTATATATAAGTAATTAATAACAAGTTTATAAACTTCTTATTTCTTAATGAAATAAAATATAATATTAAGGACAATATTCTTTAAATTATTAACCCTTATCCTGTTAATCGCGACTCTGAGTCGCGCTGGCTTATCTGATCTGCTGCTGCGGATCGCGACCTCAGGTCGTTTTGAGGGGTTTCCTCATCTGATGCTTGTTTCCCTGCTATTTTTAGCAGAGCATCCCATTTCAATGAATGAAACAAGTATAAATATAAACCAATGGTTTAGAATTTGTAAAAATATACACCAATCAGAAAGATTCATGTACATAATCACCATCCAAAATAGATGGTACTCCAGGACAAAGAAATATTCCAAAATGGCTGACCTAAATATGCATGCTTTTAGTCTCCGGAGCTTTGTAAGAAAGGAAAGAAGTTTATACACTAAAAGGAATATAATTAAGCTACTATCTAAAGGTATAATAATGATATTTAATGTATCATTATAATTGATATTTATAACATTTAAATAGTTATTCGGACTTATTATCCATTATCCATACTGTTCAATTTAAATCGAGGTAAATGCAATAAATTGTAGGAATATAGAAATAAAATTTATATGAATAAAAAGCTCTTTCTTTTCTTCTTATTTATAACACAACTTATGTGTTGATTGCATCAAAGATAAGGATGCTATAAGCTGATAAGTAAAGGAAGTATGTATTCACTGCGATATCTGTTTACACTTAACTTTCGCCGCAGCAGTGGAACTGATAAGCCATAACTTTGACCGCAGGATAAGGGTTAAAATTGCTGCACTATTCCCATGATGATTCTCAAACTATAAAATTTTAGGAAACGTACACTGGACTGTGAATTTTTATCCTATTTCAACTTTAAATTGTACGAAGAGTAACTAAACAATACGTTATATCGCGATAACCTCGCAGAAACTTTATCTAACTCACTACCGCTCTTTAGCGGAGTGGTCGAGAAAGCTCTAAATCTCTCGGGCACATGACATTGTTTACAGTAGTGACTATTGAATGATTCGAACAGTTTTTTGCCGTAAGTACAATGTATTACCAAAGATTTAACTCCAAATAGTAGATTGTCAAATAAGAAAAGATTAGAACATTTTATCAGCTTTAAAATATGACGATTTTCAATGAAAATTTAATAAGAACAGTAGGCTTAGTTAAAAATATCGTTAAGAATGTAGCATTTTAGCATTGTTTAGCAAGGTATTCTACCAGGATTTTTTTTTACTGATTTGCTCTTATAAATTCTATAATGATCGATCTTGCATTGTATTCAATAGCACATTTGCCCCAATCCAACAGACGTTTCCAACCTCCATCGCGAAAGAGCTCCGCTAAGTTAAGTTATCGCGATATCAAATATCGCAGTGTCGTCGTTTGTGCAGCAATATCTTAAATTTTTGGAATAGTCTGCGTCTCTTTATACCTTGTTTCTGTCGAACAAAATAAGGTATGCCCTTTGCCGAAGCGATTTTGTTGATGTTTTTTATAAACTTGTATTGCACAGGTCGACGACGTAATAATCGGACGTACATGTAATAATGTGTACTGGCTATCGCATGTCGTGGGTACTAAGAATGTATTAGAAAACACGTCTTAACATTTTCTGTGCGTTAGGTATAGCAATTATGGGTTTATTTAGATATTTTGCATAGAAACCTTCATACTTAGCCTTAACTCAACTGCATAATATTTGTCACTCAATATCTCCAACATAAGGCTAGAAATCTAATGATATAAAGTTCTGCTTTAAGGTATGTAAGACATACTACATTAAAAATATACAAAATACGAAAGAAAAATGAATGACAAGTATTTTTTCAGCTAAAGGTCCCTTATTCCCTTAAATGAAAATATTAGGTAACTGAAATTAATTGAATATAAGTGAAAACAAATCTAGAAACAGTTGTGACATTCCTCCTTATAGGAGTACATGATTATAAACTGTTTAAAGAGACACATACATTTCAATGCCACACAGGGCCTCTTTTAGAATCCTTCTATTGACATCTGATACACCAAAATGTCGCTTATGCATTTAAAGACGTTTTCATTAATTTTGTTTCCTATGATTTATTTCCGTTTTTATTAAATTATTTTTATCTAGGGTATTGTTTTGTCAATGATTCCTGTCTGAAAGATGGGGAGTCTGAAAAATCAAATCCATGTTTGATGTGCAATGTATCCACCAGTCTCTACTCCTTGATTCCAAATCCCGGTAAGATTCGTTATTTAAGAACTATTTACTAGATAATTTTTTCATCATTATATGATAATATTTTAAATCATCATATGCTTGGAATATCAAATATAGATTACAATGCATATTCAAAGGGAAAAATACGCATTCACTCAACAGACATTGCCAAGAGATAAACGTATATTTAAAAAGTTTAGGTAAAATTTACACCGTTTTCCCCTAAAAATAGCATATATTGAGATATATGTCCAGTGATTTCATTAAGTTTTGGAATAGCAGGAAATAATTTAAGAACAGCAGGAAACCCATTATCGGCGAGGGGTCTGGGGGCCGCCTTAGGCCCCCAGGGGGTCCAGGGCAGAGCCCTGGTGGGGGGCCCAGGGGGGCGAAGCCCCTCGGCCGAAAACGAAAATAGCCATTTTTGAAGCTACTTTTCCTGCCTCTAAGGCCATCAAAAAGTGCAATTTTTATCAAATGTTTACCACTAAAATCTGCTTAACTTGATCTTAAATGGTGCCATTTTGAAGACTCTCTATTCAGTAATTTGTAAAGATTCAAACTATAATTTTTTTTCCTCATTACCAATTTAGAGCTAATAAAAAATATTAAATGTGCAGTCTGTGCTTAATTTTTGTAAGGAATATACTGTATATTTACTCCCTTTCACATGTCTGTATATTTTAATCAACCTTTAATGAAAACAACCATCAAAATTATATTTTTTAATTTCCTGTTCATGCATTACACAAATTAAGGAATTTTAGAATTAAAATTCATCATCTGAATTCCAATCAGATTCACTATCAACACTGAATTTTTTTCTATACTCCTCTGCTTCCCTGAGATTTTTTGCTATTTTTAATTGTAGAAGAGTATTTTCAAAAAGTTTGTCTTTATCATGGTCATCATCACAGGTTGATCCAACATCATCAGCTTCTTCTTCATCATCAACATCTGTGCCATGTGATACATGTAATACTGGTTCGGACTCAGTCTGGACTTCTGCCTCCATATATGTTTTCCTGCTATCCTCTCCTGTACCTATTAAATTTAATTTGAAATCTAAGAAAGGTCTCAAATTAAATGAATTTAGATATCAAAATTATCATTATTTTTTTTTTACCAATTCTACTGGAAAAAATTTTACCTGAAGTCCTACTGGAAGGAATCTTCCTCCTTTTCTTGGCAGAGATCCACATTTCAACTGCATCAGAAACTAAACCATCACACTTCTCTGTGCACAAGTCTGGACCATTGACAGCAATATGTAGTAATCCATTCAACATATCATTTTTTAGTCTGTTTCTGAGATCAGTTTTAATGATTTTTACTTTTGAGGCACCTCTCTCTAGCCATGCATTAGAAAGTGGCATTGTAAGTACCAATTCTACAAGTTTTGTAAGGTAGGGGCACATGTAATTATATTCGTTTTTATGCTTCATAATTTCACTCAAACACCATTCCAAAGGAGTAAAATCATCTGATGCAGGTATTTGACACTTTTTTTCTGCAATATGATATTTCATCAGGTGCCATTCTGCTTTTACTTCAGCAAGGGACTGGGTGCAACCTTCTGAGAGAAACTGCTGGTGAATAATTTCGACAGCATCGTCACCATATGAACTGAAGCTTTCACTGTCCTTATCAGGAATTTGGCAGGGATTGAAAATATTGAGAGCAACTAAAATTGGAACATCAGGAAAGCGTCTTTCAATATTTTCCACTAATGCAGAAATATAGTTGCTAAGTGTCTGTCCAAGCTGGTGTTCAGTATTCTGGTTTATTGTGATATCTAGTAGTTCAAGCCTTCCACCTTCACTCAATTCAGATTTAGCCAACTCAATTGGACTTCTTTCACTTCTTATCTGTTTCAGTTCTTGAACTGCACTGTCTAAAGTAGGCTGAATTGTACTAAAATTAAGATAACTCTTCTGAAAAATCCTACTTATTTTCCCCAGAATTGGTAAAATTGCATGAAGAATGAAGAGCAAACCTACAAAATGGGCAGAATGCATTTTCTTTAGTAATCCATAAGCAGCAGCATCACTTTCAGAAAGTTCACTCAGAGTTTGAACTAAAGGAATCAGATCGTCCATTGCAGCAGCAACTGATGCCTCAAAACTCAACCATCTGGTTTTACATGCCCGTTTCAGAATTTTTACACATTTCTTTTTTTCTGATGAATCAAGTACAAGGCTTCTGTAGCCCTCAAGGTGTTTCAGAAAACAAGCCATCTTCTTTGGGGAATAATGAAATAATTTCCAAAGCTGTAGCATATACGTCTCAACATTCCCTACACACTTGAGATTAGAATTGGTGTCTGTACATGCTAATGCCAACCGATGGCATACACAATGAGTTGCAATCAGACATTTGTTCATATGTTTCAGTTTAGCACTTAAGCCATCTTTTTTACCAATCATCACACTTGCACCATCTGTACACAAACCAGTTATCTTCATCATATCTAGATTCATGGCTTCAAAATTTTCACAAAGCACCTTGAAAAGAGTTTCAGAGTTTGCCGAGTGTGACTTTTCCAGTAAATTTGCAATGAAAAGGAAATCTGTTTGAACACTCCCAAGCTCTTGGTCAAAGTATTGAATGTACACAATCATCTGTTCAAGTGACGACACATCAGATAGATCATCAATCATTAAACCATAGCAGTTTGAAGATTGCAATTTTTTTATTAAATCATTTCTCAAAGTATCTGATAAAGTTAGTAAAACTTCTCTTTGCGACCCTGCTGATCTGTGACTGAAATATTTCAAATCTTTCAATCCAATATGTTCCATGAATTTCATTAGTTTGTTAATCTTAAAGTTAGCAATCATCTGATCTGCAACAAACAAATGAGAATAGAAAGCTTGGAATAAAACTTCATTTTTGATTTCTAATTTTCTGTCAATTTCTTTTTGAAAAACTGAAACTCGATTGAGAGATTCACTATATTTTGCTGCTTCATGACATTTTGTTTTCAGGTGTTCCTGCAAAGCTAACTTTCTAAATCTTTTACTTGGTTCATCTGCAAATACAGCTGATCTGTTTCTCGGATTTTTAATATTATGTTTTCTACAAAGTAGACAGTAGACTCCTTGTTCCTCAACGAAAACGAAATGCCATAATCTTGTAACCTTACAGAAAGACAATTCTTTTGAGTTCAGCCAAGCATGATCAAATTTTTCCTTTGATTTTAGAGAGCAACAGTCACTCCTGCGGCAAAGCATGAAGTTATGAATCTTTTGAGAAATATCATTTTTTTCAATGTCAGGAAAACAGGACTCAATTAATTTTAAATGTTCATTTTCTGAAAGACTTGTACATGTCAGGACAGTGGACACATCACAGCTACTTTCAGACTGGGTCAGACTGGCATTAATTACATTTGTTGAGGATCTTTCCGCTTGTGTCAGCTCATTTGGTTTGCAAATATTTTGATTTATATCAAGATTTTCTGAGTCAGTACCTACAACTATAAAAAATAAAACAGATAAGAAACGAATGAAGATTGATTTAATCAGTATACCAATCAACGATAAAAGTTTAGAACTGCAAAAACATAACATCTACTCTAGGGCAATTTATTAAATATATTCAATATATTTATTCGGGAAAAAAGAAGTTAAAGTCTGAAAGAGATCAACGTAAGTACTTCCAGGTAATCTACTTCTTAAATGTAGGAAAATAATTTGACTTTCCTTTTAGAACGTAATAAAAATCACAAGAAGTTTCAAGTTATGTCAGAGGAAATTCTGGTATATCACTATACATGTGCCTTGAAAGAATGTCGAATCACGGAGTTAAATGTTAAATTATGGGGAAAAAATATAGACTTATGTCTAAAAAAAATATACATAAAATACTGTTACTTTACCTCGCTTAGTGACGGGTACCGGTAGAAAAAAATCGTTTATTTTCCTCTTCGACATTTCGATGTTGTGTGACAAATGGTGGGAACCAGTTCACGTTTATTCTGTGTCATCGATATGTAGCTATATTGACGCCATAATTTCAAACGCAGTAATGATAGGGATTTTGATGTTAACTAAATCGGAAGTTAATTCGTAATTCGGCAGATTTTTTTTTTTTTGAAGACGGAAATCTCAGCCGGCAAATTTTCTACTACAGGCGGTTAATTTTGCCGGTTGCCGGCTCTTATTGAAAACACTGATGTCAAAGTAAAAAAAAAAACAGCATCGACCCCACCTTTTCCTTTCTTTTTTCTTAAACCTTTACATTGTTATTAATGCATCCATGTGCATTTCGGACATTTACTTAATAGATACATCGACACATTCATATTCTAAGGTACTTCTGAAATAAACAATGAATTTGAATATAATCTAGATTATTTTGTTTTTATTTTTTGTTTGTCCGTTTTTGTTTGTTTGTTTTTGTTTGTTTTTGTTTCGCAAAATTGTTGCGTAACAGCGTAGCGCAGAATGGGTTTGACCCCCCAGATAGCCATAAATAAAGTCACGCAGGAGTTTACATCAATTTCGCCTTTCCAAACAAATTGAACAAAAGAAATTATGAATATTTATCGTAATTGACAACAACTATGAACTGATCTGATACATATCAAAATTTAAAAATGTTTTAAGGTGGTATTTTCATACAATCAGTTACTAAACTAAAAGCATAACAATTTTAAAACTGAAGGTCTCAACTTGTTCAAAATATGACCTCAACAATAAAAAGAGTTTCATGTAAACACTGCTAATACTGAAACTTTATATATACAGCAGTAATGAACATGTATATTATCTGTAAATGCAGAAATGAAAATGAACAATTGTGCTGTACTTAGTGGTATTTTTACTCAATTTAGCAGATGTGAAGCAAAACAGATTATTTTTCAAATACTCCCCAAGAAAAATTAAACAAACTAGTTGTTCAAGAGATCATGATAAGAATTAAGAATATCACATGTACTCTCTATATAATATACTCTTCAAAAAAAAAAAAGAAACGCATAGTAGAATTTTAGTGACACATTGAACATTACGATTATTCAGTAAAATGATGCATTAATAAAACAGAATTGTGGTAATCAACAGGAATACTATCTAAATGTCATAATTACTCAACAATTTAAAACTATAGTCATTTTAAGGCCATTAAAGATCAATATCTGGTATGCCCCCGCAGACCCAAACGATAGCCACGAACGGCATGTAATGGAAGCAAATATGTGTAATAAAAACTGTAAAGGAATACTCTCCCACTCCAAATGTCGAACTTTGGTCAGCTGTTGCAGAGTCTTGGGATGCGATTGTCTTTGGCAAATCATGTCAATCCATTTTGTCCAATGCTGCTTAATTTTGATTAAATCTAGCGATTTAGATGACTGTGGCAGAAACAGGTCGCTGTTGCTTTGCAAGAATTGGAGTGTCAAACGAGCCGTATGTGGCTGTGTATTGTGAGATTGCAATACGGCTCCAGGATGCTGCAAAATTAAATGGGCATGTGTAGGTAGAACATGGTTAGAGTACCTTTTTTATCAAAGTCCATCAAATTCGAACCAAATCAATATTACTTTCTTATAATACCGTTTTCCATTTCATTACACTACCACCACCAACTTGTTTAACGTCCTGGAGGCAGTTATCTGTCTAACATTCATTACAAAGCATTAGCACTCTTAAACTTATAGAAGGATTTCAGATAAACATTCTTTACAGGTAGCTAAACCAAAATGTTCAGTAGTGGTGCTGTAGTCATACTCTATTGATCTGAGATCTTTGAAGTCGATATTTGGGGTGCTGTGGGGTCAGAACAATGACATGAATAATCCTCTTACAATAATTCGTAGTCAACTGAAAATTCTTGTTAGATAAACTGTGCAGTTAAGGGATTGCTAATGCTTTAGATGACGTCATTGCATTACATTCATGCAATTTACGTAATCTTCTGAAGTGATGCTGTGCTGCTGATGTCACATATTTTTTGCGAACATTGGGTGTTCGATGTTAATGGTTTATGTTTTACAGGTTAGATATCGCGCTGTGCGTAACATTAAAACCTCTTGCAATTGTAGATTGCGGTACCCCTGCATCCAGTCGCCCATTTTCCTTTTTGTGCTTTGCACCATTTAGATGCAGCATTTTTAGGAAGCGTCATTTTTCAGATAAAACCAGATTCAGAATATCGAGAACCCTTGCTTTTGATAGCCCCTTTGTGCTTGAAGGAATTGCATCAGAATTCAACAAATGAAAATTGAGATCAAGGTTTTTGAAAATCGGGTCTTTTTGTCTATGAGACTTGTAGAATAGCTGTAAAGTTAACAATTGCATTAAAAAAGCACTCGAATAAATCATATCCATATAAAAATAAGAGGTATGACGAAACTATCATACGTTTTTCAGGGCATTGTTTCTACTATGCGTTAATTTTTTTTTTGAAGAGTATATTAGAAAATGATCTCATGCCTGTCTGAATTAAAAAAAAAATAATGTAATATATTTAAAATTGAGCATAGAAAAAAAGTGATTTAAAAAATGAACTTATTTTCAGTTCAAAACCTATTTGAAAACAATGTATTATCCATTGGAAAATGATCTCTTTGTTTAAAGAACTGTTGCTGCCTTAAACGAATAAACCCTTGACAAAGCTACTTATAAATGACCGTGAGAAAAAAAAACAGGTCTGAAAGATTTTGTCCGACCAGGCAGGGGTTTTGGTACGCAAAATTGTAAACAAAAAATCAAGATGATATCCGGAACTTTTTGAGGAGGTTTTGTTGATTATTAATTTGCGAAGCTTAATTGACCCAAAATTGAAATAATTGTTAATCTGTAAACGACTACCAATGATGTTAAGATATATAAAACAAAAGACAGTACTCTTCTGATTTATGGGAAGTGAAGGCAAAAAATTTAATTTTTTATTTTAATATAGTAGTATAGAGGCGGTACATACAACCGATTAGCATTAAAGTCATAAAACGATTGATGTAAGAATATTGCTATTACCTATTAAGATATCCAATGGCCCCAAATTAAATTTTTTTTATCATGCACAAAGGTCACGTAATAATTGATGTGCATTAATTTGCATTAGTTGTTCAATGATACATATTATTCAAACTATTTTACGTAAATGATTATATTTATATTTGCCATGATTAATCTGATAAACTTCGTTAAAGTTTGAAGTGATTAACCTAAGAGTTACCGTTTGAGGGGCAAAAATATAGGTCAAATTAATTGTATGTTGCTCAGTAAGATTCAAACTGACACCCCCCCCCCCCCCCCCGTTTTTTTGTGATTTTGAATCATGTTATATGAGTACTTATCTCAAAGATGCTTCTAGAAATATGGATTTATCTCATTTCACGAATGACATGCCTTAAGATAACAAAAAGGAATCCTATGAAGACAAATACAATCCTACCAAATTTAAACATATACTAAAACATACATTCCTTTATAATCATCAGTAAACAAGATGTGTTTGTGAAACACTGATGCCCCCGTATGGCAACATAGCTAAGATTAAAACTTTTCTTAAATGCAAATTTAATATATTGGTACTAAAAGTAGGGTATACTCAGTGGAAATACAATTGTGAAATATGAAAGTAGGCCAAGGTTAAAGTTTTTTCGTGAGTATGGAAATTTTCAAGGTCAAGGTCATTGATATCTAATGAAAGGTCTTGCCACAAAAAATACATATGTAAACCATGGAAGCCCTAGCCCTAACTGTTCAAAAGCTATGGCCAAAATTTAAAAAGAAAATTAAAGTACGTCAAAATCCAAGGTCAAAGGTCTTGCTATTAAGGCCAAGGTGAAGTTTTTTTCATAAGAACAAAAAATCTCCAAGGTCAAAAGGTCAAAGTAATTGGTATCCAATGAAAGGTCTTGCCACATATAATACATATGTAATTTATAGAAACTCTAGCCCTAATCGTTCAGAATTTATAGCCAGGGTTAAAAAATGGAAAATAGGTCAAATTCTAAGGTCAAAGTCAAAGGGTCAAAGGTCTTGCTATCAAATGAAAGGACTTGTCACAAGGACTAAATATGTAAAGTATGAAAACACTTGCCCTAATCCAGTCACGGCCAATGTTTGCTTTTTAAAAGTAGGTAATACTCCAAGGTCAAAGGGTCAAAGTTCTTGGTATCTAATGAAGGGTCTTTACACATGAATTACATATGAGCAGTATGAAAACTCTATACCTTTTTGTTCAAAAGTTATGGCCAAGGTTAAAGTTTTTTTTACGAGTAAGGATGTATCCAAGGTCAAGGTCTAAAGGTCAAAGTTGTTGGTATTCAATGAAAGGTCTTTCAACAAAGAATACATATATGAAGTATAAATATCCTGCTTTCTACTGTTCAAAAGATATGGCCAAAGTAAAAGTTTGAATTTTTTGTGTAAAAGTCAAACTCCAAGGTCAAAAGGTCAAATTCGGTGGTACCCAAAAAAAGGTCTTTTCACAAGAAATACACATTTGAAATATGAAAGTCATAGCTCAACTAAATCAAAAGTTATGAGCAAGGTTAACGTTCTTGCAGACAAACAGACAGCTAGACAGACAGACAGACAGACAGACAGACAGACAGACAGACAGACAGACAGACAGACAGACGGACACGACAAAAACTATATACCCCGAAACTTCGTTTACGGGGGCATAAAAATTGAAGATAATATAACTTTTCTAATTTGTAGCTTACTGTAATATTGGAGGTTTGTGTGTGGCCGATGGTAAGGAGGACGATTTGAACTCTTGTTTATTTTGTAATACTTCAATCAGCAGGGGGAACTGGTCATTACATCAGGGTAATGTTATAATATTATTTGAAAAATATCATAAATATAGTAAATGGATTTTAACATTTATCATACATTAAAAAGTGTACATTTTGTGACATACGAAGGTGATCAAAAAGTTCGCGAACTAATTGAATAACTTATAATTAAGAAATGATATATGGTTTCAGTGTAAAATTTTTTTCAAAGTAGTGTTCTCCGATATTAATGCGCATTTGCAACCATTCTGCCCATGCGCGGATCGAGTGACATAGGCGGTCACCGGGTCACGTGACATGCTTCTTAGCGTTCCGTCACAGAAGCTTAAAATTTTTTCCGACTCTTATACTTCCCACCATGCAAGTTATTTTTTACAACAGAAACAGCCCCTTTGTCAGAAATAGCCTAAATTCGGCAACAGTATGGGTGGATAGTGATATCCTTTTGCAGAATGAGCATAATGACCATCAAAACCTATAAGTCCTTCGTCTTTTGAACGTCGTTTATTTCATGTGGATATGGGTGTCTTCACTTTATAATATCTGATATGTTTAATGTATAAAGGAAACAATATTTTAGGGATTTATTAATTAAATTATTGTTAAGATATTCATCCATTTTTCTAACTATAACTTGGCGACCTTTCATATCAAATTGCTTAACAAAGGACACGTCTCTCTCCCAGTTTGCTTTCACTGGGCAACAAGACAAACATCATTTTTAAACATCTCCCTTCCTTCAGTTTAACAATCAATCTAATTAATGACAGAACTTCTGGCAAGTTTTTTGTCTTCATAAACCGTTTACAAATTATTATAATCTTCAAGGGGATTTCCAGGACATACCTTTAACTTCACAGGCGTTCGTTTCTCGAATACAACTAAGTCAAGCATTTTTTGTCACAAGTGATCTACCTCATGACATCATTTTCACAAACATGGCGCAAAACATTCCATTACATATGCTTTTTACAGAACATGTGTGTGACTCTATGTGTGCTAAATTTCATTCTAATCTAAATTGTGGTTTTGTAAATATAGAGATAGTTTGCGAACTTTTTGATCACCCCTCGTACATGTAACTTTATGGATCTTTGCACCAACTGCATATTGGGTTTCAGTTTTTTATAGTGGATACGCATAGCACGTTGCGTCTTTATCAATTAGATTTGGATCTGCTTTGCAATCTATTGTTTGTCTATAAAATAAATAAATATTGGTAAACTGACGAAATAAAAAATAAAAATGCGCATGATGATTTTCTTTTCAGCATTTTACATCTTCTATTAAATGGGCTTTTTTTAAGAATGCATTATTATAGACTATTGTATGATTAATGGGCAATGTTTCCGGGAGGGAAAAATTCATACAATAAAGAAAAGTAAATTCTGTGATCAACTTAAGAGCAAAAAATAGTGGACCTTGAATAAATGTTCATGAATTATAGAATACTTTAAAGCTGAACACTTCTCATAAATAGGCACTGTCAGACGGGTATACAAACCGTTCGATTTCGTTTCACCCGAATGCACACTCGAAACTCGTGGCAGACATGTAGTACTTCTTGCGTGGTCTTAGAATTTTTGCGTTTATTTCTTGTTTTTATGTGCATTTTCTGTTTGTAATTGATGTATTGACCTGTATTTTTTATGATACTTTTGTCCTGTTTTGGAAAAAATACGTTAACCGTGATAATTTCATCGCGACCGAGTAGCACGGCTGTGTAAGATGTACGTCTACACTCGTCGAATCCCTACAGCAAAATACATTGAACTGACAGGCGATCTGCTCCTTATATATTGGTTGTAGGGAGAGCGTTGAAGAACGGGAAATATGGCAGACTATGCCTTTTTACGAGTAGTGTTCAGCTTTAACAATAGATCAGAATCTGAAAAATTTATTTTTCATTAAAGTAGGCATTCCTTTCAAATTTAGTTTTGATTTCAATGTATTTTAAAGATTTTGTAAACCACAGTATGTTTCAATGTTCCACATAAAATATCGGCAGTTTTAACCTTTACGTTGCTGCTGCAAACGCAAAAAACGATTTTTTTTCTTTATGATATGTAAGAAACTAGTTTGTCTTAATGTTTCAATCAAATTTCTGATAATTTAGGATATTGTTTTGTCAATGGTTCCTGTTTAAAAGACGGAGGGTCAGAAAGAAACAATCCTTGCTTGATGTGCAACGCTACTGCCAGCAATTACTCTCTGGTTGCAAATCCTGGTAATATAGAAATTTTAATGATTATTACCTAACCCTCAAATTGGCATTATCAGCTCTTCGAAAACCTACTCTACACTGCACATTTATAGTTCTGCTTCTACGGTATTTTTATGCAGTTTGAGTGATTTGCCTCTATATATAATTCTAGTAAATAAAAAAATTACAATATATCACTCAATTAATTATGAATTTAAGTATTTTTCACATTTTAAAAGGCCAAAATAAAGACAAATGATTTGAACATGTTATTTACATGTTTTATCTTCGTGGATGTAGATAACACTGATTTCTGTTCACTAATACTGTGTTGTGTTTGAAAATATTTTCAATATATATTTTTTATATTGAAAATTAAATAGATAGGCTCAACATTTTTATCTTTATTCAATATAATTTTCTCAAAGTCAAAAACATTTTTAGGGAGGTTCCTAACCAGTTTATTATTCTGTGTTCAAATGTCAATTGTTTTCTTTTTTACTTTATGGAAATAAAGTCATACTTTAAGAAATATGTTTCTGACTTATATACACGAATATATCCATTTTTCTTGTCTCGATGTTTAAAAGTGTTGCTTTAAAAGGCATAAGAATATTTTCATAGGGAATTGTGTATCATAAATCGAGACTGTTTTCACATTCTGTTACATTGTGTTTTAGAAAGTCTACTTTTTCACTTTACAAATTAACAGGGCAGAAAAAAGTATAGCAAAACATTCTCTCTTTTCAGCTTTCTGCAATATAGCAGGTTTGTGTGTGCCTGAGGGTAAAGAAAGTGATTCCAGCTCTTGTTTATTTTGTAATACCTCACTCAGCATGGAGAACTGGTCACAACATCAAGGTAATTTTCAGTAAATAAATTTAAAAAATAAGTTCACAGTAATTTTTATCTACAATAAAGCGAGCATTGTGAGAGTTCACATCCAGAGCAAACCTAAAGCCTTCAAATAACTTTATTAATTTAATAACAGAAAGTACATTTTAATTTTGCTGCTAATTAAATAATATATAAAATTTAGCTGACTGTGTGTTGTGAAATACAGAATTAACTGCAACTGAAAGCTCAGAAAAACCTAATAACGAGCGTCATAGATTCCCTTTTAAATTGTTTGCATGAACGGAATTATGATAAGAAAAGTAAAATATAACAGGGTTTTGTCTGATTGATGGTCGATGTATCCAAGAGGGACAAAAGAATACAATGAATGAATGTAAAATTTGTGATCCACTTCAAAGCAAAAGGAATTGGACAGTGATTGCGGGTAAGTAAGAATTTTTTCACGCACACCTTGAAGTTTATGTTGTTATTGTATGCAAAGTGTTTGAATTGTCTTTTAAGAGTTTCTATGAAATGAAGTAAGACCCAAATTACCGGTACAATTTATACAATAAATCGAAGATTTGGGGCTATATAGTTTTTTGACCGTCTGTCTGTCCACAAATCATATTTTTGCCATAGCTTTTGACCGCTCGGAGCTATGACAATTATATTTCACATGTGTATTTCTTGTGTCAAGGCTTTTTTGGGGTACCAACATATTTGACCTTTTAATCTTGACAGTTTTACCCTTTTTGCAAAAGATTCAAACTTTAACTTTGGCCGTAACTTTGACCTTAGCTTACGAGTTTGACACATATTTTAAGAAAAGTTTAATTTTTGTTATAAATTTTGAATTGATGGTGCACACGATATCATATTTCACTGGTATAATTATTGGACACGAAGTCTTTTTTTCAGAAACAACATTTTTCATCTCTCGACATTAACCTCAGAGTTTGACTTGCAATTGAGAAACTTTCGAGGAAAACTGCCATATAAGGGCATCAGTGTTTCATAAACAGATCTTGTTCCACTGTAATTCAATCTGAGTTTGAAGTATATTCGTTGGTTATTGGTTTGTCAATGGTTTCTGTTTGAAGGACGAAGAAATTAAAAAACAAATCAATGTTTAATATCCAATGTTTTTACCTGTGGTAATTCCTTGTAAAATATATTTTTTTAAGTACTTCCAACTTTTTAAAATGCAACCATGTTCTTATCGTATATATTATTGATTTGGCCAGCAGTCACTTTAGTTTCATTAACCTTACGTAGTGAAGTGTACAGGAAGACAGAAAAGGAAATAAAACAGATGATTTCGATATTTCTTTCTTTTTGAAGATGATAAAATCCATCTGGTACATAACAAAAAAATATCAATTTATCGCGAGTTTTTTTTTGTGTGTGTGTGTGTACCATGCTATATCATTCATAATATTATTACATTATTTTTCAAAATTTGTTATGAAAAACAATAGATACCCTTTACAATTTAAAAAGAAAAAACAATATAATTTCAGATTTCTGCAGTATAGGAGGTATGTGCATTCCTGATGGTACAGAAAACGATTCCATGTCTTGTTTATTTTGTGATACCTCACAGGGCAAGGAAAACTGGTCATTACGTCAGGGTAATGTTTATTATATGAATAAGAAAGTTACAAAAATCACATCAATTCAAATTTATTATACAGTCTAAATGTACATTATAAGTAATAAGCTTTCTCAAGATGCATTCTTTGTTTTGCTCGTCCAGTCACATTTCGATTTTAACTGTGACCTTCTTTGAAGACATTAAGGTATGCAAATCCTAATGAAAAATTCAAAACCTGTTTGGTATATTTTTAGTTTTTCATATACACTTTTCTGACCAAAATATTTCAAACCAATAGGGTATTGTATGATTGATGAACAATGTGTCCAAGCTGGACAAAACCACGTTACAAATGAGTGTAAAGTATGTGACCCAATTCAAAGTAAAAGTAACTGGACCTTGAGAACAGGTATGTCAGTAATTTATTCTCATATGCAAATATCTTTTGTTTAATAGGGTTTAAGACATAATCTTATGATAGACAAACTTGTCAAAAATACGAATTTTAATGACTATCATTGCTTTTTTCCACACTTCTGAAGGAATTTAAGCAGCAGAAGAAATACACATATACAATTAAAAGGCATTGAACTGAACAGTCTTAAAAGAATATTTTCCCTAAGATCTGGTTTTTAAAACAGCACCTTTTCTTTGTAGGATATTGTTTTCTTAACAATTCCTGTATACAAGATGGACAATCAGATAAAACAAATCCATGTTGGATGTGTAAAGCTTCTTCTAGCCTTTACTTCTTTTCGCCAAATCCTGGTAAAGTTGTGTTCCTTTTAATGTATTTCTATGTGAAATATTTTTTTAACATGTATATACACTGTTAAAAAAAGTTTAGGTATATTGTTGTTATCATGGTATGTCAATCCGTTTGTCAAAATTCCTTAAGCAGAATGAAACATATGGAGACAATGAACACTATTCAAGATAAAAAAAAATCTATAAAACAATAAAAAAATATGAGCCGAGCAAACTAAGACCTCCAAAACATCAGAGGTGGGATCAGGTGCCATGGAGAAGTGCGTACCCCCTGTCGAGCGGTCATACCTGTGCTCTTTGTTATGATCGATGCAGTGTTTAAATAATGGACTTAAAATAAGTATGAAAAACTTTAGTCAGCATTTGACTCAATGATAAATTGTATTTGCTGACAAGGACATTGTTTCGACCACAGAACTTACGAAATGATGGCTTTAAACGAGACTGCTGATATTATTGTTTCATCAAATTTGTTTGTCAATAAAGTACCTCGTTTTAGAAATTGTTTATACGTAGAGCATGCTCTTGCCTATCGAATCAACTGAGATATATAAACTCAGTATGCAGGTAATGATGGTATATTGCTGCATAAGTAAGGAAAGTTAGCGATTGAAAAGTTAAAGCCATCATGTTTATAAAAGAGCTTGGTTGTTAAATTAGCATAAACGTCTTTTCAAGTAAAATATCCAAGTATGAAAAAGATCTGTCAGACCTTTTTATCTCAAGCTTCAAAAGGGTATATTGTATAGACATAGAATATCAATTACCGCTGTTGATTGATATACAATACGTCGTCGATATATCTTAACGTAGAGTTGAAGGCCACAACAAGTGTTGTTTTTTTTATTCTTTTCATGCATACCATTTTGGACAAATTATGCTTCATATGAATACAAAAATATGCCTGCTTATAACGGGGTGTAATTGGAACCCACGAGGATTCCAACAGATTGTCAGAAGGCCTTGTCTCTAGAAACAACATAGATATTGTCAATAAAAAACGCAAGCATCTCTTTGATTTCAACTTAAGAGTGTACAATCAGAATGTTTTGTTTTTAATTCTGCAAATTACCAACGACAAGGTAAGTATATTTACGAGTCTCATTTTTTATTGAAAAGAAAGCTGTCAAAGATATAAAAAAAGCCCAAACTTTAATTCATCGTGGGGAATGGTTGTTTTAAATGTTTAAAAGTCATAAGTTTTTTAGCTGTTGATTTTGATAAATTCTTCTGATTTCAGATTGTTCAAAAGTTCTTTTGAATTTTCAAGTACACATCTGATTAACACCATTTCTTGAATATATTGCTGCACAGTACTCTTGAAGTTTCTACTTCACTCCTTTTAATATTTTAGTGAGGAGTAAAGAAAGAGGCTTTACATTGACATTGAGATCATATGTTTATTTTATTTTGATAAATATATAAATGATATGTTTACATTAAAGGCTATTTTCAGGAAGATAGCAAGGGCAGAAGAGTATTAGTTAGCGCGATGTATCTCACGTTTTTTATTGTTTCAACGGACTTTTGCACCTAATTACTTCGTGATTGATATTTTTCATTCTAAAAATTCAGTCAACTTTTACAGTTTAATGTCAATGATATTCTAATACTTTTAAAGTATTTATACAGATTTACTTTTAGCTTCATAGAACAATTAACATTAAAATGTCATATGTCTAAAATCGACTTTTTTTCAGCTTACTGTGATATTGATGGCAAATGTATATCTGATGGAGAGAAAAACAACTCCAATTCTTGTCTTTATTGTAACACTTCACTAGACAGAGATAACTGGTCATTAACTGAAGGTATTTCTATTAGATTTAGTATAAAATTTAACAATGCGGGATTTAAACTTTCAGTTTTAGGCTGCTTCTCTTTAAGGGTTTTAGAAATTTTGAAAAAAAAAGTTATTTTGAATTGATCGAAGTAGTTGTGACAAACCTTTTGCAGTAACTTTTCTAGAAATATTTCGGGAGAATCAAATGCTTTTTTTTAATTATTTTAAAATAAGAATTATAGAATACAATTTGAATGACTACCGATATTATGTAACAGGGTATTGTATAATTGATGGACAATGTTTCCAAGCGGGGCAGAATCATACAACAAATGGATGTAAAGTATGTGATCCACTTCAAAGCAAAAGTAACTGGACCTTGAATGCAGGTTCGTTAGAGATACATGTATACATAATTTTTTTTGCAAATCTATTCTTTAATTTATATATTTCTTTCAAGACATTATATAATAATAAATGAACTAGAAAGTTGAATAGGTTTGGATAAATTTTAGACTGTGTTAATTTGCATTAATTTAATTGTATTTGAATTGATTCAATTATTACATGCAAGAGTTGTCCCATAAAAACACAAACTTTTTCATAATCTTTTTTTTCACTTACATGGTAAAGTTGAAAATCGACATGCATTTAAATTGACATGTTTTAAATGATTCGCAGACAGTTCAAATAATTAACTATGTAAAAAGAGAAATGCCGAAATCTAACGAACGAACGTTACTCTCCCTTACTTCCCGTATCTTGGTAATCCCCCCACCCACCCCAGGACCAGTAATTGTACTTATGAATACTTTAAAATTGGAATAATTAAGTATATGATTAAAATAGAACAAATAGTGTTAAAATCACTTAAATTATTAATGATATTTCTATTTTCTATTTTTATGCAATCACAAACAATGTAATTAAAAGTGGACATATGAAAAAAATACGCTATAATACCTCAGATTGAATAGGAAACACGTTTGTTATGGGTCACTGATTATACGTATAAGAAATTATATACAACCATGCGCTGTGAAAAGTTATGTTTTATAGCATAAAAAAAAAATCACACCGTAGCTGTATCAATCCGTGCAGAGCAAAAAGATACATGGCCATGCGATTTTATAGTGTCCTGTATCAAAAGTGTATATCTATGTGTAAACTAAGGAGAGCGAAAAAATGAAAAAAGAGAGAAGTAGAATAGGCAATGCATGTGTAATTAATTAGCATAATTGTATTCTAATGTTTCAAAAGTCATTAAAATTTGAAAGACACTATTTTGAAAAAAGTAATATTTTTAAAGTATATGTGTTGGGTAAGGAGAGGTGCAAAGTCCACCAAATGTTTTGTCCATTTTCATCACATTAAACTAAATAAACAAACTACTTATTTCTATATATTATAATCCTTAAAATGGTATAGGGTAATACTTGCATTGGCAATAGATCCCACAAAATAAACTCGTTCAATCATATGGTAGACAGTAAGTTCCTAGATGATCTATAATATTGGACAATTTCAACCTAATTTATTTTGCGGCTGGATATCATTGTATATATTAAATATCCGTGGATTATAAAAAATCCCATTATGGGTATAGTTTAAATTAGAAAATCATATTATGTTCGGGGTTGAAGGTTGCTGCCGAACATTTTTTCCAAACAAAATTTTCTTCATAAAATATCATATTACATGTTACCTCTGGTAGATATGTATACATGTACTACGTGTCTGGATTTTACTTAGGACAATTTCTACTCAGCTTATTTGCATACATATCCTTTAAATATATGAAAAAAACGCTTAAAAATTTTGAATTAATTATAAATGTTCATGAGTTTCGGTTTTAAAATATGTCATATATTTCATCTCATGTATTGTTCGAAATACTGTATTCTGTGAAAAATTTAATACTGGTTTCAATATACATGCATTATATAATCATATCATGAATGCGGAGGAAAATGCATGTTCGTATTTATTCGGATGATAGATCTTCTTTTAAGATATCTTAATATAACGTATATATTACTTATATAACTCTTATATATACACTTACTCAAAAGTTAAGGACCATTGACTTTGATGTGACAATTGAAAGTAAAAAAAATAGTTTGATTGAATATATTAAAATTTTCTGGTCAATCAAACGCTTATTTATTATTTGTTTTTATGTTTCCTGGATTTCTCTGTTTAAATACTTGTAAAACCGGTTTCTTCAAGTCTATCAACGCGCGTTCGAATAATCCTGTTTTCAATTGTGTTCATACCAATGTTCGCATGAGCTTTACCGGTAGGGAAACAATGTAACAAGTTTTGTGCAACCATGCCTCGTCGGAAACTATCGGATGCTGAGCGTTGGCAGGCTATTTGAATGGTTAGAACTGGAATGACGTATAGGAGGGTTGGAGATCACTTTAATGTCAGTCTCACTGTTATTTTGCGTCTGGTACATCGCTGGAGAAGAACTGGTTGTGTGGATGAAGCTACAAGATCTTGAAGACCCCGAAAGACCACAGAAAAGGAAGATAGACTTCTTAAACGTCTTGCTAAACGGAGTCCTTTTGACACTGCAAACACACTGAGATGCAATTGGAACACCCAAGCTCGAATCAGTAGAAGCACGGTGAACAGGAGGCTAAACAAAGAACGGATGCGATTATGTCGGCCAATAAAACTCCACTATTATCCCAAAGACACAAAGAAGCAAGATTACAATGGACAAGACAGCATAGGAGGTGGAACATTCGGTCATGGCAGAGAACACATTGGTCAGATGAAAGCCGATTCTTGCTTCACCCGGTAGACGGCAGGATTCAGGTATGGAGACATCCAAATTCTGCATACAAACAACAGCATGTATTGGGAACGAAGGCCCTTGGTGGAGGCGGTGTAACAGTATGGGGATGCTTCTTTTTGCAATGTAAACTAGAGCTACACATTCTTGATGGCACCTTAACTGCCCAAAAGTACAGAGACAACATACTAAGCCCATTAATTGTGCCTCATTTCGATGATCATTCATTAGCAAGTCGAAATGTACTAATAGATGACAACGCTAGACCTCATCGGGCCCGAATAGTTCAAGACTATCTTCGCCAAGAAGCCATTGAACCCATGCTTTGGCCCGCCATGTCCCCAGATATGAATCCATTTGAACATGTGTGGGATTATCTTGGTCGTAAAATTAATCAGAGGACCCTAAGATGTGAAAACATACAAGAATTGAAAGACTCTTTAATTCAGGAATGGAGACAGTTTCCCCAAAACCGCCTACGACGACTTGTCCACAGTATGAGAAGGTGTGTGAAAGAACTGTACTAAAGTCGTGGTGGATATACACATTATCAAATATCCATGCTTATAAAATGTTGAACATTGATGGCTCTTTCAATGCCAATAATGTTAAATATGCTTATTATCAGCAACTTTTGTCAACAACAAATTAAAGTGAAACTTTATATTTTACATTTTTTGACTTGAATTCCTTTCATTGGAAAATTATCACTTGCATAAAATTCATTAATTATCAGATGATTTCGAAACATGCATTGACTAAGGAAAGTATAGATCTACGTAGATTTTAAAACGAAAATTATAATATTTAATTGGATAGATTTTAGTTTTATGAAATGTTTAAAGATTTTCACAAAAGAGTGATGGTCCCTAACTGTTGAGTAAGTGTATATATTATAATATTGGGTCAAAAACCCAATTTACTAATTTTTTCCGTAGAAAATTGATGAACGTGCACAATAACAGTCATTGAACAAAACAATATCTGGTACTCGAGATCAATCGAAACTGTCTTTATGATTACAAGTTCACAGTTTAGCTAGCAGTAGGTACAGAAAGACCTTGTTTTATCTCCCCTCACCCTCTTTTCTAAAGACAAACTTCATGATTCAAAATTTTCTTATTACTTTTCGGAACGACTTTACTCGTTTGAATGTCAATTGAAATGTATTTTAGTGTACTGTAGCCTCATGTAGCCTCACGGTATCGGCTACAAGAAATAGTTTTGAGGTACGAGGGGCGTTCAATAAATAATGTCATCAGCTCAATGACATACAACATAGAAATCATATGACATTAAGCTTGACTTTTTCTAATTATTGAATCTTTATTGCATTCATAACCGTTTATGTGACCACTTTTCATCGCATAATTTCATTGTGGGAAGCTGGAAAACAAGGGCTACTCGAGACACTGCGTTAAAAATGAATGGCCAAGAATCAGTAAATTAGAGTAAAATTGAACGCGTCATTAAAGCTGCTGTAAAACTTGTTAATTTCCCAACAATATATTAACTGAAATATGTGAAATTTACAGCAACTTATGTCTGTTTCATACACACATGAACAGGTGGATTTCAATTAACAAAAATCATATAATGGTCATCAAAAATGGGTACCCTCCTTGTCAACAAGGACATACAACAACCAATGTATATTAGTGATAATTCAACAAATTATCACAGATTTATGTTTTATTGACTTTAAGTTACATAGCAAATTTGATAGACATCATATCGGGGGTAGTTCACACTGTTTTAAAGAAACATTTGATTGTAAGAAAGTTTAATACTCAAATGTCACCCTATATTTATAAATATGAGTGAAAACGAGAGCGTGTAGAAAATCTAAACAATTATGTTTAAAAAATCAAAAATTGTTCTTATCCACGTTTTTTCTGAAATTCAAACAGATCATGAAACTTGAATCCATTTTGCGTTGAACCCTCAAAACAAATTTAGAATAAGAAGTCCTTGACAAAACTGCAAAGGCCTAAGAAGAGCAAAAATTTGCAAGAACACAAAAACAGTTTTATACGCTATTTTCATAAATATTAGCGGTCTTGTTGTTCAAATACATATATAGGGACGTAGTTCAATTTCTGGAGGAGTCTAGTAAGCAAAATATTTGCCAACAAATTGAAAGGTTTATAAGAGGAAGGAAACAGAATGAGGAATTCACTACATTAAATGTCTTCCTGACAGCGTCCAAACCCACAGGCCATGAAGAGTAAAGGAGGTTTGGGGTAAACAGAAAGTTAATGTTTTGTCACATCAACAATATTCGCCAGACTTTTCAATCTTTGACTTGTTTCATTTCCCAAACTTAGGAAAACACCTTTCAGAAAGAAAAAAACAAGCACAGCAAATCATAGGATCTGCCATTTTCCAGTATACGAAGGGTCATACTCAAAACTGTGTTCTAAAAACAATTAGAAATTGAATAAAAATGTTACGGACATGTCTTTTAATTAAAAGAGAATATTTTAGTTAAATCATTAAGACGAAATCATGGAAAAGCGATTTTTGTTTCTTTCCGAGCCCTGATGACATTATTTATTGAACGCCCCTCGTATCTTGCAGAGATTCTTTTGAAATCTCAATAAAATTGGTGAATTCTTTGAAGCAACTGTGTATGCAGTGAACGATCCCCATTTTTCATACGTTCGTTCGTAAGGTGTTGTTAATCCAGTAAGCCATTTCTCTTTAGTAAATTGATCTTTCAAAATAGGTGTCGACGCAACACAAACGACGTTGAAACGTAGCTCGTAAAGTTTTTTTTGATTTTTTTCAGGGATCGTGCATCTTTGAAAATCGATTGAAGCATAATTGATTCTGCATTTTATTTTATTTTCGATACTAATATATATTCATATAATGCGTTCTACAGTTAGGAATAAGATAAAGAAAAAAATATTAAATAGCGATTTTTCTAACCCTAACATTAACATATACATATTATAATTTTATTCCTATTCACTTAATCATTTACAAAACATTTTAAGAAAATTTTGGAGAATAGATTGTGTGATTTATTTTCGTGATTGCATATATTGATTAATACAATGTTTCCAATGATTCTTTAGGTTATTGTTTGATCGATGGTCAATGTTTTCAAACAAATCAAAGCAAAGATATTGAAGTGTGTAAAAAATGTGATCCTCATCAAGACAAATACAACTGGACTCTGAGTACTGGTAAAATAAAAAAGTTATAGCACACAAGCATATAAGGTATATTTTTGGAAATCTATGGAGAATCGTGTAAAAATGTATAGGAAGCAGTACAATGTTGACCAAAATGTTGCAACGCTGCTGGAAATTTCCGATGTACATGACCACTCCTTCCTTATAATTAGCAGCATTTTAGATTTTACAGTAATAGAAAATGTATAATAAAATTTCAAAACCAGCCTCAATTTTTGTATACTTGGATGACAATTAATAATCAAATTTCTTTGGACTTGAGGCTAAATTCTGAAGGGTCATCTTATAAAACACACTAGTTAACTCAATCTTTATTTGTAAGTACTTTGTGTATTCAGGCTGCACGGCCCAGTCTGCCATAAAACGTCAAATACGTGTATAGGGATTTTGCATTTTACACTTGTATGTATTCACGCTATGTTTTCTTTATCTTGCAAATGTGTAAATATGTATATTCTAGATTTGAGTTAGTCTTTTTTTTTTTTTTTTTATAAAAGCTGATGAGCGTTATTAATATAAAAACTTCATATGCGCAGACCAGTTTTACCTTGAATGTCCTTTTTTATCACATAACATAAAATTTCAAATTCTTGCAGTTTCTTCGAAAATGTATAAACAGTAGAAAAATCGTATATACCAATTTCAAATCAATGAACAAAATAAATTCCCTTACTTAAATATTCTGTCTCTGAAGTTGTTTCAATCTTATCAAAAGACCATTTTATGCTTTGATTTTGTCCCGTTCAGATGACCAACGTCTTTTTTTCTGTTATTTTTTCAACTTGGTTCGTGCGCTTTGTACCTAATATTTCCACCGGCTATATAGAAAACGATACTAAAGAATTCAGAAAATGTTGACAGCCGCTCCATCTGTAGCAACATTGATTTTTTTTGCAATTGAACCATGAAGTGTGCTCTCTCTCTTTCTCTCTCTCTCTCTCTCTCTCTCTCTCTCTCTACCACATATACGAGGGGCGTTCAATAAATAATGTCATCAGGGCTCGGAAAGAAACAAAAATCGCTTTTCCATGATTTCGTCTTAATGATTTAACTAAAATATTCTCTTTTAATTAAAAGACATGTCCGTAACATTTTTATTCAATTTCTAATTGTTTTTAGAACACAGTTTTGAGTATGACCCTTCGTATACTGGAAAATGGCAGATCCTATGATTTGCTGTGCTTGTTTTTTTCTTTCTGAAAGGTGTTTTCCTAAGTTTGGGAAATGAAACAAGTCAAAGATTGAAAAGTCTGGCGAATATTGTTGATGTGACAAAACATTAACTTTCTGTTTACCCCAAACCTCCTTTACTCTTCATGGCCTGTGGGTTTGGACGCTGTCAGGAAGACATTTAATGTAGTGAATTCCTCATTCTGTTTCCTTCCTCTCATAAACCTTTCAATTTTTTGGCAAATATTTTGCTTACTAGACTCCTCCAGAAATTGAACTATCTCCCTATATATGTATTTGAACAACAAGACCGCTAATATTTAAGACAAAAGCGTATAAAACTGTTTTTGTGTTCTTGCAAATTTTTGCTCTTCTTAGGCCTTTGCAGTTTTGTCAAGGACTTCTTATTCTAAATTTGTTTTGAGGGTTCAACGCAAAATGGATTCAAGTTTCATGATCTGTTTGAATTTCAGAAAAAACGTGGATAAGAACAATTTTTGATTTTTTAAACATAATTGTTTAGATTTTCTACACGCTCTCGTTTTCACTCATATTTATAAATATAGGGTGACATTTGAGTATTAAACTTTCTTACAATCAAATGTTTCTTTAAAACAGTGTGAACTACCCCCGATATGATGTCTATCAAATTTGCTATGTAACTTAAAGTCAATAAAACATAAATCTGTGATAATTTGTTGAATTATCACTAATATACATTGGTTGTTGTATGTCCTTGTTGACAAGGAGGGTACCCATTTTTGATGACCATTATATGATTTTTGTTAATTGAAATCCACCTGTTCATGTGTGTATGAAACAGACATAAGTTGCTGTAAATTTCACATATTTCAGTTAATATATTGTTGGGAAATTAACAAGTTTTACAGCAGCTTTAATGACGCGTTCAATTTTACTCTAATTTACTGATTCTTGGCCATTCATTTTTAACGCAGTGTCTCGAGTAGCCCTTGTTTTCCAGCTTCCCACAATGAAATTATGCGATGAAAAGTGGTCACATAAACGGTTATGAATGCAATAAAGATTCAATAATTAGAAAAAGTCAATTTCATATGATTTCTATGTTGTATGTCATTGAGCTGATGACATTATTTATTGAACGCCCCTCGTATACCCCGCGACTTTTGCGACCTGTATACACCGCGACTTTTACAAAATTATTAAGTTCACACAAAAATAAAATCATTATTTTGTCTTGGATTTTCATAACAACTATTTCAATATACAATAAATACATCTATAACTATTCATTATGGCAAAACGTCGTCCTTGTCAATAAATTTTATGGGCAATCCTCATAACTCAAATCAAAGCAATTTTTTAAACCTTTTTTGCATTGCATGTCAAGTAAGCAAAAGATCATAATATTAATGATTTGTTATAATTCGCAAACTGATATAAACAGATATTTGGAGGAAAAAATTCGTAATTTTAGATTGCTTAGTCAACAATCATATTTATATTGAGGTCATAGTAGGATCCAGAATAATGTACATTAGATTACTCGCAAGAGAATTGTTCTTATGATTCAAAAGAAAGAAAAGATAATGCATCATTTCATGTTTTGTGAATTGCAGGATATTGCTTTGTCAATAGAACATGCATACAAGATGAAGAAATCAACAAAGTTAATCCATGTTTGAAGTGCAACGTTTTGAACAGCACTTACACATTTTCTTCAAATCCTGGTAATTATCAATTTCTATTAATCGAGTAAAATGTGCTTAATTTCAGACAGTGATATATTTTGTGATAATTTTCAAGAAGGATTACAAAAAAAGATGGTTCTGTTTTGTCCAGTCACTACTCATACCATGTCATACAGATCAAAATATGTATTAAATACAAAAAAAAAAATCTATGTCAAAAAAAAAAAAAAAAAAAAATTCTCAAGTTGTGCATTTTTTTTAAAAATATGCCCAATACCGATTCCTATTTAACAAATACATTTTTCTAAGTACAAGTTATTTATTGCCATAATACTGAATGGGGATTTTCATATAATATTTTAGGTCATTGCTGAATTGTTGGAAGAAGTTATTTCTCCTCAATGAAATCTGATTCAACTTCTAATCTTATTTTCAAATGCCTTAATCTTGTGTTTTATTCCCTATTTATATTGTAACATTTTCCTCTTAAATTTGATACCTATTTTTTATCTTCGTGTTTCATGATAAAGGAGATTACGTTCGTGAAGAGATTAGGTAATGCATCTTCAAACTACAGTTTCTCAGATTCATTATCTTTATTTTTGACAATACTTTTAATCAACTAAGGAAGAACCGTTTTGTATTGCATCATACTTAGAACCAATTTTTTATTGGATATTTCATAGATATGTTTCAAATATTGGGTCATAGTTACGCTCAAATAATATGCTTATACTTCTTGAAACGGTCTTGTTTGCAGCTAGGGAACTATGGATTGTATGAGTAAAGCTTTATTTTTTATTCGATGAAAAACACATTAAAATGTTTTATGAATTCTCTTTTAAGCCTCCTGTAATATTGGAGGTCAGTGCTTCGTAGACGGGAAGATAAATGACGCAATATCCTGTCTGCATTGCAACTCATCCTTAAGCACAGAAAAGTGGTCTTTAAGCTCGGGTAAATGATCTTAAAGGATATCAATCATTAATATTTACATGTAATACTCTCCTTATACCAATTCACTTCACCATTAATATGTCTTAAAGAAAATTTTGGAGAATAAATTGTGTGATTTATTTTTGTGATTGCATTTATTGATATTGATTAATACAATGTTTCCAATGGTTCTTTAGGTTATTGTTTGATCGATGGTCAATGTTTCCAAACAAATCAAAGCAAAGGTGTTGAAGTGTGTAAAAAATGTGATCCTCGTCAAGACAAATACAACTGGACTCTGAGTACTGGTAAAATAAAAAAAAGTTATAGTACACATTCATATAATGTTTATGTTTGAAAATCTATGATGCATCGTAGGAAGCAGTACAATGTTGACCACTATGTTGCAACGCTGTTCGAAATATCCACAGGATGAAAATCTACCATTCAGTCGACTAAATGGTAACTGAATGGTCAGTGAATGGTCACTGAATGGCCACTGAAAAGTTACTGAAAGCCGCCTTTCAATTTTAACTGAAAGGTCTTGTTTCTTCCTGTTATCGGATGAACATAAGCACTCCTTCTTTTGCAGCATTTTAGATTTTACAGTAAGAGAAAATTTAAAATAAATTCCCCAAACTGGTCCCAATTTGTAGCATATCAGGACGAAAATCAATATTTAAATTCCTTCGGTCCTGAGGCAGAAGATCCTGAAAGGTTCTCTTTTTAAATATTAAATCAAAACAATATTTCACTCAATATAAATTTGAAAGTACTTTGTAAATTCGGGCTGTACGGCACAGTCTGCCATAAAGCTGATTTCAAAATACTGTTTTAAATAGGAATTTTGAATTTTTTCACATATTTATGTATCAACGCTACGTTTTCTTTTCTTTTCTGCAAAAGGATCAGTGTATATAGATTTAATTTCTTTCTTTCAAAATGCAAAACTTTCGAGCGTCATCAATATAAACAGTTGTTGCTTTTGCTAGATTAAAAACAGCATCCTGAATATGGGTTTCCTTTTTATCACATAAAGGTCTCAAGATTTTCAATTATTGTAGAGTCTTCGAAATTGTACATTTGTACGTATACCGTTGAAAAATCTAATTTAGTATTTCTAAACCAATGACAAAAAGAAATTACATTACTTTGAAGTTGCTTTAATAACTATTTCGTCTCTGAAGCTGTTTCCATCTTATTTAAACACAATTTTATATTTTGATGTCGATCCATTCGGATGGCCGATGTCGCCCTTTTCTGTCATTTTGTTTTGAAATGTGTTTCTTGCGGTTTTTCCCTCATATTTTCACTGGCTATATATAAAAAAGATATTACAGCTCAACGCACTTTTTAAGCTCACATGGTTTTTCGCACAAATTAAAGTCACATTGTTGTAATAAAAATTACCATTTTCGAACTGCAGTACAATGAATAACCCTACGTTACATTACATTTATAATTTTCAATCATAGATGTCTTTTAAAATTATTATCTTAAGTTTCCAAAATGGATGTTTTAAGGGGAATTTATATGTAAATGGTACGATGTTTCGACTATACGATTCTGCCATAGGTTTTTAACAATTGTATAAAACGAGCTTTCCTTGATATCATGTAGTTGAAATTTTTAAATTTTATTCTTAAAGGTAATTAGTTTTTAAAATTCTTTGTTCATTTACCATACTCCTCTTGGTTTCGTCGACATTAAGCGCCGAAAAGGGATAACACTGCAAAAGGAAACCACACTGAAGGGTAGGATAATGAAGTATTGTTTATTTTTTTGAAATAGTAAATTCCTTCTATTAAAAGGAAAATTCCTCTACATTTACGGTCTGAATGGTTAGAATTTTGCAGTGGGATGAATCTTTCATGAGTCCAGAATTTAGAAGTTGACTCTGAAAAATCCCACCTTATTAACATACAAAGCAGTCAAACAGATGAAAAATACTAATATCACCCCGAGCTAAAGAGTCAAAATGTACAGAAAATACAAGTTTATGTAGCTAAACTGTGCCCATGTCTACGTTTCTGCAAAGAGCTATAGCTTTCAAAAGAACGGGTAAAAAGATAATTGCAATTGGCAAGAAACCACAAAAATTCAAATGAGAGTAGTTGTTATTTTTCAGCCATGAAAATATCAAAGTTCTACCAATTGATATGTGTGAATTATGTTTTAGTAAATGAAATACCTCCGGTAAAACTCAAATAATTTAAACAAATACTTTTAAAATGTATTTTGATGCCTCGATACACAATATTACATCATAACAATGTGACCTTAATTTGTGCGAAAAACCATGTGACCTTAAAAAGTTTGTTGAGCTGTATAGAATTAGTAGGTGTTGATGGCTGCTTTTTCTGAAATAGCATTTTTTTCACAAACTTTTTTTTCGTATTATTTAAACACTGTATGGGGCATGCACTCTCTGTTTCTCTTTCTCTATTCCGCAGTCTCCTTCTCTATTACACTTTATATCCCTACTACTTAAGCGACTTTTACAACATTAGTAAGTTCACACAAAAATAAAAACACATTTCTGTTTTGGATTTTCAGATTAAATATTTCGAAATACTATAGATATGTCTTAAATATATCTAATACTATTCATTGTAACGAATACATCATTGTCTAAAAACGTTATGGGTAATCATCATTTTCTCAAATCATAGATTTAAGTTTAACGTAATTAGTATTTTTCGTATACATTTGTTTGTATTGAATGTCAAGTAAGCAACAAGCATTTCTTTTTTTTAATTGCAGGGTATTGCTTTGTCAATGGAACATGCATACAAGATGGAGAAATCAACAAAGTTAATCCATGTTTGAAATGCAACGTTTTAAACAGCACTTACTCATTTTCTTCAAATCCTGGTAATTATCAATTTCTATAAATCGAGTAAAAGGTGCTTAATTTCAGTAAGTGATATATTTTTGTGATAATCTTCTAGAGGGATAGCATGGAAAAGATGGTTCTATTCTCATAACATATAATACAGATTAAAATATATATTAAATAAAAAGAAGTCTATGTAATAAAAAAACTCAAGTTTTGAATTTTTTTTAAATATGCCCATTAGCGATTCCTGTTTAACAAACACTTTTTCGAAGTACAAGTTATTAATCGCTGAATGTGGATTTTCAAACAATATTTTAAATCATTTTAAACACTGAATTGTTGGAAGAAGTTATTCTCTTCAATGAAATCTGATCCAACTTCTAATCTTATTTGCAAAGCGTCCTAAGCTTGTTTGTTCTTTTCCCTATTTATATTGTACATATGTAACATGTGTCACTTTAATTCGATAATTACTTGTTATACTCATGTTTCATGATTAAGCAGATTAAGTTCGTGAGGAGATTTGGAAATGCATCCTCGAAATAAAGATTCTCAGATTCATTATCTTAAAAAAAGTTTATTTTTGACAATACCTTTAATCAACTAAGGAAGAACCGTTTTGTATTGTATCATACTTAGAACCAATTTTACAATGGATATCTCATAGACATGTTTCAAATATTGGGTCATAGTTACGCTCAAATAATATACTTATACTTCTTGAAACGGTCTTGTTTGCAGCTAGGGAACTATGGATTGTGTGAGTAAAGCTTTATTTTTTATTCGATGAAAAACACATTAAAATGTTTTATGAATTCTTTTTTTAAGCCTCCTGTAATATTGGAGGTCAGTGCTTCGTAGACGGGAAGATAAATGACGCAATATCCTGTCTGCATTGCAACTCATCCCTAAGCACAGAAAAGTGGTCTTTAAGCTCGGGTAAATGATCTTAAAGGAAAACAATCATTAACATTTACATGTAATATTCTCCTTATACCAATTCACTTCACCATTAATATGTCTTAAAGAAAATTTTGGAGAATAAATTGTGTGATTTATTTTTGTGATTGCATTTATTGATATTGATTAATACAATGTTTCCAATGGTTCTTTAGGTTATTGTTTGATCGATGGTCAATGTTTCCAAACAAATCAAAGCAAAGGTGTTGAAGTGTGTAAAAAATGTGATCCTCGTCAAGACAAATACAACTGGACTCTGAGTACTGGTAAAATAAAAAAAAGTTATAGTACACATTCATATAATGTTTATGTTTGAAAATCTATGATGCATCGTAGGAAGCAGTACAATGTTGACCACTATGTTGCAACGCTGTTCAAAATATCCACAGGATGAAAATCCACCATTCAGTCGACTGAATGGTAACTGAATGGTCAGTGAATGGTCACTGAATGGCCACTGAAAAGTTACTGAAAGCCGCCTTTCAATTTTAACTGAAAGGTCTTGTTTCTTCCTGTTATCGGATGAACATAAGCACTCCTTCTTTTGCAGCATTTTAGATTTTACAGTAAGAGAAAATTTAAAATAAATCCCCCAAACTGGTCCCAATTTGTAGCATATCAGGACGAAAATCAATATTTAAATTCCTTCGGCCCTGAGGCAGAAGATCCTGAAAGGTTCTCTTTTTAAATATTAAATTAAAACAATATTTCACTCAATATAAATTTGAAAGTACTTTGTAAATTCGGGCTGTACGGCACAGTCTGCCATAAAGCTGATTTCAAAATACTGTTTTAAATAGGAATTTTGAATTTTTCACATATTTATGTATCAACGCTACGTTTTCTTTTCTTTTTTGCAAAAGGATCAGTGTATATAGATTTAATTTCTTTCTTTCAAAATGCAAAACTTTCGAGCGTCATCAATATAAACAGTTGTTGCTTTTGCTAGATTAAAAACAGCATCCTGAATATGGGTTTCCTTTTTATCACATAAAGGTCTCAAGATTTTCAATTATTGTAGAGTCTTCGAAATTGTACATTTATACGTATACCGTTGAAAAATCTAATTTAGTATTTCTAAACCAATGACAAAAAGAAATTACATTACTTTGAAGTTGCTTTAATAACTATTTCGTCTCTGAAGCTGTTTCCATCTTATTTAAACACAATTTTATATTTTGATGTCGATCCATTCGGATGGCCGATGCCGCCCTTTTCTGTCATTTTGTTTTGAAATGTGTTTCTTGCGGTTTTTCCCTCATATTTTCACTGGCTATATATAAAAAAGATATTATAGAATTAGTAGGTGTTGATGGCTGCTTTTTCTGAAATAGCATTTTTTTCACAATTTTTTTTTTCGTATTTAAACACTGTATGGGGCATGCACTCTCTGTTTCTCTTTCTCTATTCCGCAGTCTCCTTCTCTATTACACTTTATATCCCTACTACTTAAGCGACTTTTACAACATTAGTAAGTTCACACAAAAATAAAAACACAATTCTGTTTTGGATTTTCAGATTAAATATTTCGAAATACTATAGATATGTCTTAAATATATCTAATACTATTCATTGTAACGAATACATCATTGTCTAAAAACGTTATGGGCAATCATCATTTTCTCAAATCATAGATTTAAGTTTAACGTAATTAGTATTTTTCGTATACGTTTGTTTGTATTGAATGTCAAGTAAGCAACAAGCATTTCTTTTTTTTTAATTGCAGGGTATTGCTTTGTCAATGGAACATGCATACAAGATGGAGAAATCAACAAAGTTAATCCATGTTTGAAATGCAACGTTTTAAACAGCACTTACTCATTTTCTTCAAATCCTGGTAATTATCAATTTCTATAAATCGAGTAAAAGGTGCTTAATTTCAGTAAGTGATATATTTTTGTGATAATCTTCTAGAGGGATAGCATGGAAAAGATGGTTCTATTTTTTAAAGTCAATTCTCATAACATATAATACAGATTAAAATATATATTAAATAAAAAGAAGTCTATGTAATAAAAAAACTCAAGTTTTGAATTTTTTTTTAAATATGCCCATTAGCGATTCCTGTTTAACAAACACTTTTTCGAAGTACAAGTTATTAATCGCTGAATGTGGATTTTCAAACAATATTTTAAATCATTTTAAACACTGAATTGTTGGAAGAAGTTATTCTCTTCAATGAAATCTGATCCAACTTTAATCTTATTTGCAAAGCGTCCTAAGCTTGTTTGTTCTTTTCCCTATTTATATTGTACATATGTAACATGTGTCACTTTAATTCGATAACTACTTGTTATACTCATGTTTCATGATTAAGCAGATTAAGTTCGTGAGGAGATTTGGAAATGCATCCTCGAAATAAAGATTCTCAGATTCATTATCTTAAAAAAAGTTTATTTTTGACAATACCTTTAATCAACTAAGGAAGAACCGTTTTGTATTGTATCATACTTAGAACCAATTTTACAATGGATATCTCATAGACATGTTTCAAATATTGGGTCATAGTTACGCTCAAATAATATACTTATACTTCTTGAAACGGTCTTGTTTGCAGCTAGGGAACTATGGATTGTGTGAGTAAAGCTTTATTTTTTATTCGATGAAAAACACATTAAAATGTTTTATGAATTCTTTTTTTAAGCCTCCTGTAATATTGGAGGTCAGTGCTTCGTAGACGGGAAGATAAATGACGCAATATCCTGTCTGCATTGCAACTCATCCCTAAGCACAGAAAAGTGGTCTTTAAGCTCGGGTAAATGATCTTAAAGGAAAACAATCATTAACATTTACATGTAATATTCTCCTTATACCAATTCACTTCACCATTAATATGTCTTAAAGAAAATTTTGGAGAATAAATTGTGTGATTTATTTTTGTGATTGCATTTATTGATATTGATTAATACAATGTTTCCAATGGTTCTTTAGGTTATTGTTTGATCGATGGTCAATGTTTCCAAACAAATCAAAGCAAAGGTGTTGAAGTGTGTAAAAAATGTGATCCTCGTCAAGACAAATACAACTGGACTCTGAGTACTGGTAAAATAAAAAAAAAGTTATAGTACACATTCATATAATGTTTATGTTTGAAAATCTATGATGCATCGTAGGAAGCAGTACAATGTTGACCACTATGTTGCAACGCTGTTCAAAATATCCTCAGGATGAAAATCCACCATTCAGTCGACTGAATGGTAACTGAATGGCCACTGAAAAGTCGCCTTTCAATTTTAACTGAAAGGTCTTGTTTCTTCCTGTTATCGGATGAACATAAGCACTCCTTCTTTTGCAGCATTTTAGATTTTACAGTAAGAGAAAATTTAAAATAAATCCCCCAAACTGGTCCCAATTTGTAGCATATCAGGACGAAAATCAATATTTAAATTCCTTCGGCCCTGAGGCAGAAGATCCTGAAAGGTTCTCTTTTTAAATATTAAATTAAAACAATATTTCACTCAATATAAATTTGAAAGTACTTTGTAAATTCGGGCTGTACGGCACAGTCTGCCATAAAGCTTATTTCAAAATACTGTTTTAAATAGGAATTTTGAATTTTTTCACATATTTATGTATCAACGCTACGTTTTCTTTTTTTTTTTTTGCAAAAGGATCGGTGTATATAGATTTAATTTCTTTCTTTCAAAATGCAAAACTTACGAGCGTCATCAATATAAACAGTTCTGGCTTGTGCTAGATTAAAAACAGCATCCTGAATATGGGTTTCCTTTTTATCACATAAAGGTCTCAAGATTTTCAATTATTGTAGAGTCTTCGAAATTGTACATTTGTACGTATACCGTTGAAAAATCTAATTTAGTATTTCTAAACCAATGACAAAAAGAAATTACATTACTTTGAAGTTGCTTTAATAACTATTTCGTCTCTGAAGCTGTTTCCATCTTATTTAAACACAATTTTATATTTTGATGTCGATCTATTCGGATGGCCGATGTCGCCTTTTTCTGTCATTTTGTTTTGAAATGTGTTTCTTGCGGTTTTTCCCTCATATTTTCACTGGCTATATATAAAAAAATATTATAGAATTTGTAGGTGTTGATGGCTGCTTTTTTCTGAAATAGCATTTTTTTCACAATTTTTTTTTTCGTATTTAAACACTGTATGGGGCATGCACTCTCTGTTTCTCTTTCTCTCTGAATTCCACAGTCTCCCTCTTTATTACACTTTGCATCCCTACTACAATATTTTAAATCATTTTAAACACTGACTACTACCTAAGCGACTTTTACAACATTATTAAGTTCACACAAAAATAAAAACACAATTCTGTCTTGGATTTTCAGATTAAATATTTCGATATATTATAGATATGTCTTAAATATGTCTAAAATTATTCATTAAAACGAATACGTCATTGTCTAAAAACGTTATGGGCAATCATCATTTTCTCAAATCATAGATTTAAGTTTACCGTAATTAGTATTTTTCGTATACGTTTGTTTGTATTGAATGTCAAGTAAGCAACAAGACATACTATTAACGATTTGTATTAATTTGAAAAAGGATAGAAACAGATATTTAGAGAAAAAAGCTCAATTGTTAGTTTCCTAAAGCAAAACAATATGTATATTGATGTTTAAAAAGAGTACAGAATTATGAAAATGAATGCGAAACAACTGTTCTTACAATTTAAAAGAAAGCAAAGATTATGCATTTGTTCACTATTTTTGAATTGCAGTGTATTGCTTTGTCAATGGAACATGCATACAAGATGGAGAAATCAACAAAGTTAATCCATGTTTGAAATGCAACGTTTTAAACAGCACTTACTCATTTTCTTCAAATACTGGTAATTATCAATTTCTATTAATCGAGTAAAACGTGCTTAATTTCAGTAAGTGATATATTTTTGTGATAATCTTCTAGAAGGATAGCATGGTAAAGATGGTTCTATTTTGTCAAGTCACTTCTCATAACATACAATTCAGATTAAAATATACATTAAATAAAAAAAAAAAGTTTATGTAAAAAAACAAAAAAAAATCAAGTTTTGAATTTTTTTTAAAATATGCCCATTAGCGATTCCTGTTTAACAAACACTTTTTCGAAGTACAAGTTATTAATCGCTGAATGTGGATTTTCAAACAATATTTTAAATCATTTTAAACACTGAATTGTTGGAAGAAGTTATTCTCTTCAATGAAATCTGATCCAACTTCTAATCTTATTTGCAAAGCGTCCTAAGCTTGTTTGTTCTTTTCCCTATTTATATTGTACATATGTAACATGTGGCACTTTAATTAAGGTCTTCCGTCTCCAACGGAAGACCTTCTACTGATTCTGTTGGTAAAGATTATTATTCTTTTTTTTTTCTTGACTTAAGCCAACTTTGAGGCCTCATATCTCACTCATTTCTCAACGGATTTCGCTCAAATTTTCAGAGGTTATAGACGTTTATAAACTCTATCAGAATAATGACTAAAATTTCAAAAAGTCACTTCCGGTTTTGAGTTATTCCCCTTTAAACGAAAAATCATAGGCTTTCGTTTCCGGATAAAGGCTAAGAATCCACTAGAGCTGGAGCAGAAATTTTACTTGTTTTAGATAACAGAAGGATTGAAGTTGTGCACATCGGTTTTTGTTTTTCGATTTCTGCATTCAAAATGGCGCTATATAGGGGTCAAAAATTAGAACGCCTAAAAGAGCGAAATTTACACATATTTTCCTTTTTATCTTGAAAACTAAAAATATTTTGTTAAGACATGTTGAATAAAAGTTGTGCATAATTACAAGGAATTTCATTTGATATCATTAAAAAGGGGCTGGCCCCTAAAATTAGGAATCTAGGGCCCTTGAAAGTTTTTGTTTAATATCTCAAAAAGTATTGAGAATTTATAATACGTCAAATAAGCAAAGTTGTTCAAAATGTCAAGCTTTATCTAATGAGGTTGTCAAAATACGTCCGGGGACGTCACTTCCTGTCAAACCGGAAGTAGTAAAAAAATTGCATATTTTGTTGTTCTTGACAGGTTTTTGGATATCATATGTCCCTGGAAGCTTAAATCTTAATTTTCCGTCCGTTGACGGTACTTCCGGTCAAACCGGAAGTTGCCAAAAATGGCTTGATTTTGCAAAAATGAACATAGATTTGGAGGATTAAACCATTTTTCGACTTCATTACTCTTTTTTTTTTCAAATGAAAGTTACTTCCGGTCAAACAGGACGGAAGACCTACTCGTTGCTTTGCAACGAGCTCGGCTCTAGTTTGATAACTACTTGTTATACTCATGTTTCATGATTAAGCAGATTAAGTTCGTGAAGAGATTTGGAAATGCATCCTCGAAATACAGATTCTCAGATTCATTATCTCTATTTTTGACAATACCTTTAATCAACTAAGGAAGAACCGTTTTGTATTGTATCATACTTAGAACCCATTTTACAACGGATATCTCATAGACATGTTTCAAATATACGGTCATAGTAAAGCTCAAATGATATGTTTATACTTCTTGAAACGGTGTTGTGTCCAGCTAGAGAATTATGAATTGTATGAGTAAAACTTTATTTTTCATCCGATGCAAATGTTTATTAATGTATATTAAATTCTTCTTTAAGCCTCATGTAATATTGGAGGTCAATGTTTCGTCGACGGGGAGATAAATGACGCAGTATCCTGTCTGCATTGCAACTCATCCATAAACACAGAAAAGTGGTCTTTAAACTCGGGTAAATGATCTTGAAAGAAACCCAATCATTAACATTTACATGTAGAATTCTTCTTATACCTATTATTTTCACCATTAATAACTTTTATAGAAAATTTTGGAGAAAAAATTGTGTGATTATTTTTGTGATTGCATTTATTGATATCATTTATACAATGTTTTCAATGATTCTTTAGGTTATTGTTTGATCGATGGTCAATGTTTCCAAACAAATCAAAGCAAAAATATTGAAGTGTGTAAAAAGTGTGATCCTCATCATGACAAATACAACTGGACTCTGAGTACTGGTAAAATAAAAAAAACAGTTATAGTACACAAGCATATAAGGTTAACGTTTGAAAATCTATGGTGCATCGTAGGAATCAGTACAATGTTGACCACTATGTTGCAACGCTGTTCGAAATATCCGATGAACATGACCAATACTTCCTTAGCAGTATTTTAGATTTTACAGTAATAGAACATATAATATAAAATCCCAAAACCAGTCCAAATTTGTAGCATTTTAGGAGGAAAATTGATATTCGAATTTCTGCGGCCCTGAGGCAAAAGATCGTGAATGGTCATATTTTAGCTGATTTCAAAATACCGTCAAAAATTTGTTTAACATTTGTATGTATTCACGCTAAGTTTTCTTTATTTTGCAAAGGGATCAATGTGTATAAATTTAATTTATTTCTTTCAAAATACAACACTTACGAGTGTCATCAATATAAAAAATTCAAATACGCAGGCCAGTTGCAGGCCAGTTGTGGCTTGTGCTAGATTAAAAACAACATTCTGAATATGGGTATCCTTTTTATCACATAATTCAAGATTTTCAATTTTTGTAGTGTCTTCGATATTTTACATACCGTTGAAAAATCTGATATTGTATTTCTAAACCAATGACCAAAAAGAAATTACATTACTTTGAAGTTGCTTAAATAACTATTTTTTCTTTGAAGCTGTTTCCATCTTATTAAAACACAATTTTGTATTTGATGTCGGTCCATTCGAATGGCCGACGTCGTCTTTCTCTGTCATTTTTTAAACGTGTTTCTTGCGGTTTTTATCTCATATTTTCACTGGCTGTATAAAAAACGATACTATAGAAAACAGTAAATGTTGATCAATCACCATTTTCTCAAATCATAGTTCTAAGTTAAACGTAATTACATGTAGTAAATTTTGTATATGTTTGTTTGTATTAAGTGTCAGGTAAGCAACAGGAAATATTATTAATGATTTGTTTTGCATCAAAAAATGATAGAAACAGATATTTAGAGAAAAAAACTCGATTGTTAGTTTGCTAAAACAAAACAATATGTATATTGATGTTTAAACAGAGTTCATAATTATGAACATGAATGCGAAACAACCGTTCTTACAATTTAAAAGAAAGCAAAAATTATGCATTTGTTCACTTTTCTGAATTGCAGGGTATTGCTTTGTAAATGGAACATGCATACAAGATGGAGAAATCAACCAAGTTAATCCATGTTTGAAATGCAATGTTTTAAACAGAACTTACTCATTATCTTCAAATCCTGGTAATTATCAATTCTTATTAATCGAGTAAAATGTGCTTAATTTCAGTTAGTGATATATTTTTGTGATAATCTTCTAGAAGGATAACATAAAAGGATGGTTCAGTTTTGACATGGCACTTCTTATGCCATATAAAGCAGATCAAAATATGCGTTAAACAAAAAAAATCTTCAAGAACACACGTTTTGCATATTTTAAAAAATGCCCAATAGCGATTCTTGTTCAACAAAATACATCTTTTCCAATGTGAGTCATTTATAGCCGTAATGCTGACTGAGGATTTTCGTACAATTTCTACAGTCATTATTCAAACTGAATTGTTCAAAGAATTTATTTCTCCTCAATGAAATCTGATCCAACTTCTTTATTTTAAGGAGTTTGGCTCCTGATATTTAAATTCTTAAACTTTTCTTGTCAAGTATATTTTTACTTTCTACACACATAACTTAATTGAAAATCAAATCAAAATATAGGGGTCAATATGCTTCTTTTGGCGCTACAGTGCATTAAATATAACCTTTTTACACTAAAATATGTGCCTTAAGTATCAGTCACATTATCCAGCGATGGGGTGTACGATGAGAAACCGATGCTTTTTTTGATGAAAATGGCGTGGTTGCCGGCCGGACACCACCAGTGATCGGACGGTGACTGAGGCCATTTTGCGAATCGGTGGGGTCATAGGTAGGAAATAATTCGTAGTTAAAATTCAGCGATGTCTCCAGCGATGCTCACATCGCTCTTTATCGGCAACCCATCATTAACACATCTTTCAAGGATAAGCCGATGTATGGCCGCGCATCGTCCAATAATTCGTTGAATCTGAGGTCAACAGTGATATGAGTGGTGTTCAACGGATACATGTAACGGCCGATCACCGGTCGATGTTCGTCCAAACATTGGCCCGTAGTCGACCGACGTACGAACGATGTTCACCAATGTATGAGCGATGTAATATACATAGGCCGATTATCCTGGAACATCGTTTTATAATTTGCAATGCATTGCTGGGCCTTTGTAAGTCCGGCCGGCAACCACACCATTTATATCATAAAACGCATTGGTTGCCCATCGTAAACCCATCGCTGGATAATGTGACTGATACTTTAAGGACTACTAAACTGATGTGGACCGATGTTGGGGCATCGTTAACACATCCGATTACTACTGGTTTACGGCTACCGACCGGGAATTGTGACCTAGGCATTAATAAAACAAATTACATCTTCAACGTTTGCCCCCATATATTTTTATCAAAATAAAGCATGAAACAAAATATACCCTAAGCCTATTTTTAAAAATAAAAGACACTTTAAAATTGTGACTGAGAAAAAATTCAAAACTGCTCTGCATAATCAATTATTTGACTTTTTTGCAAAAACCAAATGTGATATTTCTGGATTTGAAAATTTAAAAAGAAAAATTATAATAAGTCTCAATATTTCAAAAGTGGGAATATATGATGACAATATCTAAATATAATTAAAAATGTGTCAATTTATGTTAAAATTGGCAAAAAAAAAATTCCTGCACATTTAGAATATATTTTCTATCATAATTCGTCAAAAAAAAAAAAACGATTTAATAGATATTTCAGAACAAGCATATATAACGCATTTCACTGCAAAAAAAGCTTTGTGTGCAACCGGCATGGAAAAATAGGAATCTAAATTTAACGGTACTGTATGTAGGTCAAAAGGGAGAAATTAATATTTTTCTTCTAGAAAACCTTCTGCCACAAAATATAGTTCCCGGCGTAATCCTACTTGAATGGAATTTAATTGCAGTTTTTTCATTGAATATCGTTCGATTTTCATTTTAGAATCTAAATTCAATATTAAAACTTAGAATAAGATGCAGAATTTTAGAAATAAAGGTCCTGACCAAAATCACTCAAAAGCACAGGACCGAACGTCCTTAAAAAGTGCATTCACCTTGTGTTTTTTTCTATTTATTTTGTAACATTTCTTTCTTAAATTTGATAACTATTTGTTTTCTTCATATCACATGATTAAGCAGATTAAGTTCATGGATAGATTAGGAAAAGCATATTCAAACTACAGTTTCTCAGTCTCATATCCTCCATTTCTTATCAATACCTTTAATCAACTAATGAAGAACCGTTTTGTATGGTATCACACTTAGAACCCATTTTATATTGGATATCCCATAGATAATTTTCAATTTTAGGGTGAACGTTATACTAAAAAAAATATGCATATCCTTATTAAAGCGGTGTTGATTCCAGCTAGAGAACGATGAATCAAATAACTTAAAACTTTATTATTCATCCAATGGAAAACACATTAAAATGTTTATTAAAATTCTTTTTTAAGCCTCCTGTAATATTGGAGGTCAATGTTTCGTTGATGGGGAGATAAATGACGCAATATCCTGTCTGCATTGCAACTCATCCCTAAACACAGAAAAGTGGTCTTTAAGCTCGGGTAAATGATCTCGAAAGAAAACAATCATTAACATTTACATGTAAAAATCTTCTTATACCAATTCATTTTACAATTTATAACTCATAAAAAATTATGGAGAATAAATTGTGTGATTTATTTTGGTAATTGCATTTCTTAATATTATTTGCACAATGTTTCCAATGATTCTTCAGGTTATTGTTTGATCGATGGTCAATGTTTCCAAACAAATCAAAGCAAAGATATTGAAGTGTGTACAAAATGTGATCCTCATCAAGACAAGTACAACTGGACTCTGCGTACTGGTAAAATAAAAAAAAGTTATTGTACAGAAGCATATAAGTTTTATGTTTGAAAATCTATGGTGCATTATAGGAATCAGTACAATGTTGACTGCTATGTTGCAACGCTACACGAAATGTCCGATGAACATGTCCACTCTTTCTTTAGCAGCATTTTAGATTTTACTTTAATAGAAAATATTAAATTAACCCCCCCCCCAAAAAAAAACCGCCCATAATCTTTAGTATACTTGGAGGAAAATCAATATTAAAATTTTTTGCAGCCCTGAGGCAAAAGACCCTGAAGGGTAATCTTTTAAAATATTGAATTAAAACACTTTATTATTCAAACTAAATTTGTAAGTACTTTGTATATTCAGGCTGTACAGCATAGTCTGACATTAAGCTGATTACAAATTACCGTCAAAAATAGGAATTTTGAATTTTTTCATATTTGTTTGTATTCACGCTAAGTTTATTTTATTTAGAAAAAGGATAAATGTATATAAATTTAATCTATTTCTTTCAAAATACAAAACCTAATATTTCACTGGCTATATAAAAAACGATACTATAGAAATCAGAAAATATTTACACACTGTATAACTGCTTTATCGGTAACAACAATTTTTCATAAACGTTTTTTTTTTTCGCATTTCAACTCTGGGGCATGTACTCTCTCTCTCTCTCTGTCTCTGCTACCTACGCGACTTTTACAAAATTATAAATATTTTGATATAATATAGATACATGTACATATATCTTAAATACGAGGGGTTATCAAAAAGTTCGTGGACTAGCGGCATCAAATTAAAACTGCTTTAGGCACATCAACCAATTTTAAAATATCTAGTTAGCATCCTCTTTTCTATCTAAAGAATAAACCATAAATCATAAATTTTATTTTTCAATAAACGAGTAATGTTTTTTGTAAGCAATGGTATGTCCAGGCGGCGCAACCTCGAACACGACGTTTTTGCGACCTTTGTGTAGCTGAGAAAAAACTCTTTTGCTATGAACATTTGACATCCGATATTCTCGTTAATTCAGGTATGTGTCGGGACACAATTGTTCCATAAAATATGAAATTTTCAATTCATTCTGTCCTATGTTCTATGAAATTTTATCGTAAATTTTACCTGGTATGTCCAACTAAATGAGGCCTTGCAAATGACGTCAAAAGGGGGGTGGGGTTTCCATCAAGTAACTATCTATAACATTCTATCAAGTTTTGCCCCTGAAAAAACTTATATAGACCTAAGAAATGTTTAAACTGGCTACAGAGAAATAAGATACATCCAGAATACTTGTCTTTTAATTTCAAAATAGATTCAGAGAGAAAAGGGATACACAGTTAATGTCGATTTGTAGTCAAAGTGTGAAAAATCAATCGCGTCAAAAAATGACGTTGATCATATGTTGTAGGTATTGAACTCCCAAAATCAAAGTATACTGGCACAATCAAGCGAGGATCTCTCCCAATGTATAAATCCATTTGGAATATTATATTCATTGAAAGCCGCTGTTCATGACATTGTAAAGTCATATAAACAAGGCGGGATTAAGTCCTTACTCAGCTCCATCCAAAAAAGTACATGAGGTAGAAGAAGAGGACATTGAAAAAACAATGACATTGTCGGACGTCATGAAAATAAATGACGGCAGCGCCGGGTGATCATATATTGTCGTTTTTATTTTATAATAATTTGGCAAATAATGAACGTATCAAGCTAAAATTTTCAACATTTCTTTATTTTTTGTTGTTTTATGTTCCTTTAAAATTTTGTAAACTCAGACCACTTAGTACTGATTTTATAGCCTCAGTCCACGAACCTTTTGATAACCCCTCGTATATCTAAAACTATTCATTGTAACAAATGTCTCATTCTCTACAAACGTTATGGGCAATCTTCATTTTCTCAAATCATAGTTATAAGTTTAACGTATTTAGCAATTTTTGTATACGTGTGTTTGCACTGCATGTGAAGTAAGCAACGACGTAAATTAATGATTTGTTTTATTTCGAAAAATGATAGAAACAGATATTTAGAGAAAACACTCGGAATGTTAGATTTGTAAAACAAAACAATATTAATATTGAGGTTTAAAGAGAGTACATATTTTTGAACATGAAGGAAATCTCGAAACAATCTATCTTAAAATTAAAAAAAAGCACAGATAATGCATTATTTCACTATTTTTAAATTGCAGGATATTGCTTTGTCAATAGAACATGCATACAAGATGGAGAAATCGACAAAGTTAATCCTTGTTTGAAATGCAACGTTCTGAACAGCACTTACTCATTTTCTTCAAATCCTGGTAATTATCAATTCTTATTAATCGAGTGATCAGTGATATATTTTTTGTGATACTCTTCTAGAAGTATAACATATAGAGGATAGTTCTGTTTTGGCAGAGCACTTCTTAACGAGGCCTGATCTAGTTGAAAATTACGAAAACGGAATGATAAAAAATTTTAATTCTTGGAAATATACTTGTATGTTTTATGCTTAGAAAAATTAGAATGAAATTTTGTTACCTTGCCTTTATTGTAGTGAAATGGGGGCACTGTCAAGATATGGACCATTTTGTCTTGTTTTTATACACAATTACATACTAAAACTCTTCAATAAACAAAGAAATTTACAAATCAAAAAAAATACATGATGAAATTCTTTGTTTTTCACATATATCATGCTAGGTTCATTCTTCTTTTAAAAAATGAAAAGAAAATTGGAGTTAGCCATTATTGCAGTGAAAATGGGGCATGTCAAAACACAAAATTTGGATTTATTTTATCCAACTTCGTATTTTATATGTCGCAATGGGTTTAAATAACACCAACAAACGATTGTGATACTGTATTAGTTTATTTCCTACATTATGAAATAATTTTCTCGCCATGCTTTATTTTTCTCTCAACACGCAACGTTGTTTTACGTGGAAAAAGGGGTAGAGGGAGGAGGAGGGGGGGGGGACAAAATTGCGATTTTCACTAATATCGTAATATATAGAAAAATAAAATATTTCGGGGGTTCAATTTAAACGATTTATAGACTTATTTTATTTTTTAAATCTGAAGATAATCCATGCATATTTAAGGACGCAATAAAAAAGAGTGTGTATAAACACTTCAACATGTTCAGAGAGATAGACTAAAATCGTTTACTTTTAGTTGCAATGTTTGTTTTTTTTAACTCACAAATTGAAATAAAACAGGATAAAATTAATGAAACTGTACCAAAAAATTGGTCCGTCAAAATAAATTAGGTTCCAAAGTTGTTTATTCATTTAAATATTTTAAAAGAAAATTATAGAAATGCCAGCTTTCAATGCATAGTCTATAGAGCTACCAGGTAATCAAGATCAGCGAAACATTTTAGCGCAATTTGACGTCATTTTAATTGTGACGTTATTATGTTCAAATGTGACGGCAGTCAAGGGTATTGTGACGTGCCTCAGTCGACGTTGAGTTAAAAGGTATGCGCAGATCAAGTAGATCTGGCCTCGTTAACCATATAAATACAGATCAAAATATGAATTTAAAAAACTTCTTCGTAAAAAACACACGTTTTGCATGTTTTAAAAATATGTCCATTAGCGATTCCTGTTTAACAGGATACATTTTACCAGGTACAAGTTATTTATCGCCGTAATGCTCACTGGGGATTTTCATACGACATTTTAGGTCATTTTTCTTACTGAATTGCTCGAAGAAGCTGTTTCATGTCGAAATCAGATCCAACTTCTAATCTTACTTTCAAAGCGCCTTAAGTTTGTGGTTTTTTTTCCTTTTTATATTTTAATATTTGTCTCTTAAATTTGATAACTATCTGTTATGTTCATGTTTCATGATTAAGGAAATTAAGGTCGTGAAGAGATTAGTAAATGCATATTCTAACTACAGTTCCTCAGATTCATTATCTTCATTTTTACAATACCATTATTCAATTAAGAAAGAACCGTTTCTATGATATCGCACTTAGAACCCATTTTATATTGGACATCCCATAGATAATTTTCAACTCTAGGGTCGAACTTATACTCAAAAATATGCCTAGCCTAGAGAACTAGCTAGAGAACGATGAATTTTATCACTTTAAACTTTATTAATCATCCAAAGGAAAACACATTAAAATGTTTATTAAAATTCTTTTTTAAGCCTCCTGTAATATTGGAGGTCAATGTTTCGTTGATGGGGAGATAAATGACGCAATATCCTGTTTGCATTGCAACTCATCTCTAAACACAGAAAAGTGGTCATTAAGCTCAGGTAAATGATCTTGAAAGAAAACCAATCATTAACATTTACATGTAATAATCTTCTTATACCAATTCATTTCACCATTTATAACTCATAAAAAATTTTGGAGAATAAATTGTGTGATTTATTTTAGTGATTGCATTTCTTGATATTATTTATACAATGTTTTCAATGATTCTTCAGGTTATTGTTTGATCGATGGTCAATGTTTCCAAACAAATCAAAGCAAAGATATTGAAGTGTGTAAAAAGTGTGATCCTCATCAAGACAAATACGACTGGACTCTGCGTACTGGTAATATAAAATAGTTATAGTACAGAAGCATATAAGGTATATGTTTGAAAATCTATGGAGCATCATAGGAATCAGTACAGTGTTGACCACTATGTTGCAACGCTGCTCGAAATGTCCGATTAACATCACCACTCCTTTTTTAGTAGCATTTTATATTTTACAGTATGAGAAAATTTAAAATAAATCCCCCAAACCAGCCCCAATTTTAGCAGATTATGACGAAAATCAGTATTCAAAATTTTTTGGGCTTGAGGTTAAAAACTTCAAGATCATTTTTTTTAAATATTAAATCAATACACACTATTTCATGGAAGCTAAAAGTGTAAGTGCTTTTGATATTTAAGCCGAACGGCTAAATTCGAAATAGCGTTAAAAGAAGGGACTCGTTTCAAGTGTTCATGGATGCAAGCTACTATACGTTTTCTTTATCTTGCAAAAGTGCAAATATGTATAGAATATATTTGATTTAATTTTAAAATTCAAAACTTACTAGCGTCATCAATATAAACATTTCACATACACAAGTTAATAGAACCTTGCTCTAGATTTATAGCAACACACTGAATATAGATATCCTATTTTCATCACATCACGGTAGATATTTAATTCTTGTAGTATCTTCCAATTTGAACGTACTGTAGCAAAATTGTTTATACCAAATTTTAATCAATGAAAAAAATTGTTGCTTGATTAAATATCTTGTTTTTGCCGGTGTTTAAATGTAATTAAAATCGTTTGTTTTGACGTTGTTGTGTTCGGACGGACAACGTCACTTTTTCTCTCAGTTTTTTAAAAACGTATTTATAATAATAATAAATTATTTCTTATGATATTTTCAACGAAGTGTGATAAATATAGTCTATGTAAATCTGAAAATCCGGAAAAAAATTGAGGCATTTTTAACGTAAAATTGTCACTTTTTTAGTAATATCTGAAAATTTACATCATATCCCCCATTTAGACTTTACCATAGTTTTCTTGCTTTTTAAATTCTCAGTGCCAGAAAAAGCACATTTTATTAGCGCAGAAATGTCAAGTAATTGACTATGCGAAGAAAGTTGAAACTGTTTCTTAGTCACAATTTGAAAGTGTCTTTTTTAAATAGACTTAAAGTTCATTTTGTTTCACACTTTAATTGAATAAAAATATTGAAGGTAAAACGTCAAAGATGTAATTTTTAATTAAGACACAAATTTCAGTGCACAAAGGTCATATTAAATGTACATGTACTGTAGCGCCAAAAGAAGCATATTGAGCCCCATTTTTGGTTTGAACTTTAATTAAGCTATGTATGTAGAAGCTAAAAATATACTTGGCAAAAAATGATTAAGACTTTAATATCAGGATCCAACGTCATTAAATAACAGTTAGAAGTTTAACGTATTTAGCAATTCTGTATACGTTTGTTTGCATCGCATGTCAAGTAAGCAAATAATCATAATATTTATGATTTGTTTTAATTCGAAAAGACATACATAGAGATAATTTGAGAAAAATCATAAGCTTAGTTTGCTAAATCAACAAACATATTCATATTGACGCCTTAGCCTGGTTCAGAATAATGAACATGAATGCATTCTTACATATATGTAAAACAATCGCTCTTTTTAATTTAAAACAAAGCAAAGATAATGAATTATGCACTATTTTTGAATTGCAGGGTATTGCTTTGTCAATGGAACATGCATACAAGATGGACACATCGACAAAGAAAATGCATGTTTGATGTGCAACGTTTTAAACAACACTTACTCATTATCTTCAAATCCTGGTAATTTTCAATTCTTAATAATCGATTAAATTGTGTTAAATTTCAATTAGGTAAATATTTTTTTTGTGATATTCTTCGAGAAGGATAATATAAAAGAAGATGATTCTGTTTTGGCTGGGCACTTTTCATAACATATAACAGAGACCAAAATAAGCATTAAAACAGAAAACGTCTACTCGAGAAATACAAAAATGTTTTTTATGTATTAAAATATACCCATCATCGATTCTTGTTTAACAAAACATCTTTACAGAGTATTGCTTTCCAAATATAAGTCATTTATGTTGACCATAGATTTTCATATTCTCACACTTAATTGTTGTAACAATTTTTTTTGATAATAACAAGGAGCACAAGGAATTTTTCTCCTCAATGTCACCTGGTCCAAATTCAAGTGCTATATTTATTTAAAGCGCCTTTGTGTGCTCTTTTTATTATTTAATTTTTTCAATGGACTGTAAAGTTTTATAACTCTTTGTTATCTTTACATGTTATGATAAAGCGATTAAATTTTGAGCAGTGTTTTGGGAATGCATATGTATCTTCGAACTATAGTTTCTCAGTTTCATTATTTTCATTTTTGCAATATCTATGCAACTAAGGAAGAATTATTCTGTATGATATCACACTTAGAACATGTTTTTAAATTGGATGTCGTAAATAGGGAAAATATAGGGTCACTGTAACGCTCAAAAGATATGCTTTAATTTCCTAAAAAGGTTTTGATTCAATCTACGGAACGAAAAATTGTATGAAAAATCTTTATTATTGAACCGATAGAAAACACATAAATATGTTAATCCAAAGTTTTTCATGATAATGAGACCAGACAATTCTGGCTATTCGAAGCTTGTTTTTCCTTAACATCTTGTATAAATCATTAAAAACGCAATGTAGTGAAACTGTAATCTATTGAAATAACAAATGACTAAAACTAAACACTACATAACATATTACAAAAAAAGTTTTATTACAATTAATTTGCTGAGCCTATAACAAAATATACAATGAATGAAAATTGCCTAGTTAAACATACAGACAAGTCAAATGTCATAATTTTTCCTAATCACATGACACAAAAACAGCCTAGCCAATAGTATAATGGTAAAAACACTTAAAAAGCAAATAGGTGGTTACAAAATAGTCATAAAGAAAGGGACATACTGGCTAGAATACGTGACTTACTATTTTTAAAATCTTTTTTAAGCTTCCTGTAATATTGGAGGTCTATGTTTCGTTGACGGTAAGATAAATGACGCAATATCCTGTTTACATTGCAACTCATCTCTAAACACAAAAAAGTGGTCTTTAAGCTCAGGTAAATGATCTTGAAAGAAAACCAATCATTAACATGTAATAATCTTCTTATACCAATTCCTTTTGATTATTATAAAATCTTCTAGAAAAAAATTTGGAGAATAAATTCTGTGTTTTATTTTAGTGATTGCATTATTTATATCTTTAATAAAAGATTTCAAATGTTTCCCTAGGTTATTGTATGATCCATGGTCAATGTTTCCAAGCGAATCAAAGCAAAGATACTGAAGTGTGTAAAAAATGTGATCCTCATCAAGACAAATACAACTGGACTCTGAGTACTGGTAAAATCGAAAAATTAAAGAACACAAGCATATTAGGGTTTATGTTTGAAATTCTATGAAGCATCGTTGGAAGCAGTACAAAGTAGACCACATTGTTGTTACGCTGTTTGAAACGTCTGCCGAACATGGCCACTCCTTCTTTAGCAGCATTTTAGATTTTACAGCAATAGAAAATTGAAATTTGAAAATTAAAATCCCCCCAAACAGCCCAAATTTTAGCGGACGATTTTTTATGACGAAAATCAATATTCAATTTTTTATGGGCATGAGGTTAAAGAGTTCAGGTCACTTTTTAAAATATTAAATCAAAACACAGTATTTTACGGAAGCTAAAGGTGTAAATATTTTTTTATATCCAAGTTGCACGGCCCTGTCTGAAGTAAAGATAATTTTAGAATAACGTCAAATATAGGGACTCTGAATTTTATTCACGTGTCTATAGACACACGTTACGTTTTTTTTATCTTGCAAAAGGACCAATATGTATAAAATTAATTTGATTTTATTTTTTAAAATTCAAAATTTCATATACAAAGGCCAGTAGGGCCTTGCGCTGGATTTATAACAGCATTCTTAATGTAAATATCCTATTTTTTGTCACATAACAGTAGATTTTTAATTCTTGTAGTATCTACTTAATTGTGTGTGTACCGTTAAAAAATCTTTATAATAATTTTAAATCAGTGAGAAAACTAGTTGCTTGAATATATAAATATCTTGTCTCTGGTGTTGTTTTAATCTAATTAAAATACAATTTTATGTTTTGATGCTGTTTCCGTTCGAATGGCCGACGTCACCATTTCGGTCAGTTTTTGCAACGAATTTCTTGCGGTTCTTACCTAATATTTTGATAAGCCCTCGTAGAGATATTTTTAAGAATTTATATTGACGCCTTAGCCTGGTCCAGAATATGTTATTATCATGGATACATTCTTAAAACATTTGCTCTTTTAAATAAAAACAAAGCAAAAATAATGCATTTGTTCACTGTTTTTTAATTGCAGGATCTTGCTTTGTCAATGGAACATGTATAAAAGATGGAGAAATTGACAAAGTAAATCCGTGTTTGAAGTGCAACGTTTTAAACAGCACGTTCTCATTATCTTCAAATCCTGGTAATTTTCAATTCCTAATAATCGAGTAAAATGTGCTTAATTTCAGTTTGATATATATTTTTGTGATATTCTTCTAGAAGGATAATAATAAAAAAAAATGGTTCTGTTTTGGTAGGGCGTTTCTCATAACATATAACAGAGACCAAAATAAGCATTAAAACAGAACGTCTACTTTAGGAACTATACCTTCTTTAGCAACATTTAAGAATATTTTGCTATGTAATGTGCTTTTATTTAAAAGAAACAATTGTTACTGATTTATTTAGATGAACAAATCGTCGATAAATGAAGTATATAACCAAGGATAAACAAAACAACATACTTGGAATTCATTATGGTCCTTTTAAATATGTTTTAACGTTACACAAATACCACATTCAATAATAAATCTCTTCGTTTATTATTTATTGCTTTTTTTAGAATAAAAAATCAAACAAAAAAGCAAACACTAAGCAAGCAATTAGACTTCATTTGTTACATCTGATTTCTAAGCAAGTATACAGCTACCTATTCAGTGAACACAAATGCATGACTGCAAGGATGGGATGAGATTAGAATAGTTATATTCAAATAATCCATATATAGGTGAAATCTACTGATGAAGAACAATAGAGCCAAAGTGATTCAGGCTGTGGCCTATAGACCTCTCGATAAAGGAAGTTTCTTTAAAAATGCGTTCCTTTTTTTATAGGTCATTGTCTGATTGAAGGACAGTGTTTCAAGATGGGACAAAATCATGCCAAACAGAAGTGTAAAGTCTGTGATCCTCCTCAAAATAGATTTCAGTGGACTCTTGATACCGGTTTGTAAGATATTCATCCAAAATCTGCTTCATATATTTTTGCATTAACTGGCAAATTTAAAATAAGTCAAACGTTACATGTGTTATTCTATTTGCCATGTTCAAAAATATTTTTGTGATCAACTGAGCTTTTAGAAGCCTTGCACTTAGCAATAGAGACAAGAATGCATTCTGGTGTATTTTTTTATGATTATATCTCCAAAACATTTAGTGATATTAAGAATACTTTGCGATCGTGAAATTTGAAATTATACTAGTCTGTTATAATTTATTAACTAAGAAATTTTAGAGTGAACAAGCACGTTGTGAACATTTTTATTCATGAGCAAGGACTCTTAGATTTTATTTGTGCTAAACGTAGTGTTCATATCTAAAATGACACCAAATTTGTATAATTTAGTACATAAAATATTTTGAACACACGACTATGCACTTTATAGACTAATTTAGTGTTATGATATTTTTGTCTTTTATAACTAATTGTTCTTTGCAGGGTATTGCCTTATAAACGATTCTTGCATGCAAGATGGAGAGAACAACAATCAGTTTAGCTGTATGATGTGTAACACGTCAGCCAGTGTGAAGAACTTGTCGCTTAATAAAGGTAGCATAGGAACACTTCTAAGAAAATTCTAAGAATACATGTATACATTTTAACCAGCATAAAAATGAGGAAAAAAGGCATTGTCTTTTGTTTATAATAAGTATGAATATAATTAGATAAGGAACTGATTTTACTTATCCTCTTGAATACATTCCATATATTGCATATAAACAATCTGAATAGAGAATCATCTGAGTCTTAGAAGGTCAGTTTAGAATAATTTCAATTTTAAGTCCGTGAAAAGTCTCATTGTAGACAAAGTTGTCACCTATACACAGATGAAACGACATTCCCGGTCATGACAAGGAGCACACGGCGGGTGTGACTCACTCCTCCATGGTACCTGATCCAACCTCTAATGTTTTGGAGATTCGTGTTTGCTATGCTCCTATTCTGTATCGTTTTATGTACTTTTGATCTTAAATACTGTTCGTTATCTCCATATGTCTCACGCAACATGCAGCAATCTACGGATATTTGATTTTTTTTTAATTAATGAATTTTTAAATATAAATACAATAAGTTTAATCTCATTTTACAAGCATAATGTTTGGAATTTGATAAAAGTTTTCCAAAACACAAACAAAAAGGAATTAAAAGGAGAATTTATGTTGCAGAATATTGGTGCATTACAATGTACTTATGAAAAACCAGATACAAACATTTTAAACTCTATATTTTGTCAAGTGTTTTGTAAAACATGCTATTTTTGAGTTCAGTAAAGTGGCTGCAACCTACAAGTTATGGCATGAAAATCATTCAACCTTTAAATTAACGATATTTACAAAGTTAAAGATATTTTTACTTTTCTTACTTTCTCATGTAAATAATTTTATTTATATAATTTTTATTTTTGTATTCTCATTTAAAGTTAGGAAATCGACATCTACAATGATAATAATTAAGAATCAATTCCCTGGTCATTCCTCATTGAAACATGATTGACTTATATATCTAGTGATGATAAATTCTTATCGTTTTTTCTCTTTATAGGAGAAAGAGGAAATACTGGACCTTGCAGAACGAACCCGTACATTTACAACACTTCGACATGGAATTATCGGTCAAAAAGTGTCAAGAAAATGAATGAGACCTTTCATCAGACCTTCAATTTTTTCACCCTTAAATATTTTACTTGATTGGAAGCAGAAGTTTTGAGTTACAATAATTTTGCATAAAATTCAAATGCTTTGAGAAAGATATTATATATATATTTATTGATTAAAAAGATACATTTATTAATATTTTTACAAATAGATGGTTTTCATAAGACTTTTACAATTTTTCAGTCACCGACCATGCCTTAAAAAATCCATGTATATATGTTATAAAAAGACTTTTATCTGAAAATCTTCAAATTATAATCAATATACACAATATGCTTTATGTTGCAATTTTTTTTTTAAATATTTGATTACTTTCTGTGCACTGATTCTAAATTAAACTCATGCAATCATTTAAAATTAAAGATGTCCAATAAAATAAGAGTTGATTTTTAGGTCACCTGAGTAAACTCAGGTGACCTATTGCTATCTATTGTCGTCCGTCGTCGTGCGTCGTCCGTTGTGCGCTGTGCGCCGTGCGTTAACATTTGAACATTTTCAGCTTCTTCTCTGCAACCACTCAATCAATTTCTACCAAATTTGCCACAAAGCAACTATGGATGAATGGAACAAAAATTGTGAATTTCATGGTCCCCGCCCCCCTGGGGCCTGAGGGGTGGGGCAAAAACCTGTTAAATTATTGAAATCTTTAAAAATCTTCTTCTTTCCTCCTGGACATCAAGCAGTCAAACTGTTTGCATGATTGTAATCAGCATTGAGTCCTCTACCAAAATTGTGAAATTCATGGCCTCAGGATCAGGGGTTTTAGTGCTAGGGCGGGGCTAAATTGATTTCATAGTGAAAATGCATATATTCTTTGAGAATCTTCTTCTCTGCTCATGGGCATTAAATAAACTAACCAAGTACATAGTTATGTTGAATAAGGTGGCCTCTACCAAAATTGTGAAATTCATGACCCCAGGGTCAGGGGTTCTAGTGCTAAGGCGGGGCTAAATTGATTACATAGTGAAAATGCATATATTCTTTGAGAATCTTCTTCTCTGCTCATGGGCATTAAATAAACAAGCCAAGTACATAGTTATGTTGAATAAGGTGGCTTCTACCAAAATTGTGAAATTCATGACCCCAGGGTCAGGGGTTCTAGTGCTAGGGCGGGGCTAAATTGATTACATAGTGAAAATGCATATATTCTTTGAGAATCTTCTTCTCTGCTCATGGGCATTAAATAAACTAACCAAGTAAATAGTTATGTTGAATAAGGTGGCCTCTACCAAAATTGTGAATTTCAGGGCCCCTGAATGGGGGTTCTTGTTTTAGGGTGGGGCTCTAATGATTATATAGTGAAATGCATGAATTCTTTGAACATCTTATCCTTTGCTCCTGGTTAATATGCTAATGATCTAATTACATATCTAAGGCCAGGATTTATTTTATTTTCACTTTTACAAACCCTCCGCTCAAGGTTTTGAATTTTCAGAAAAAAAATATTTTTTTTTTCTGATTTCAAATTTGAGTCGGGATCGAGATTTCAAATTTACGAACTCGCACTTCCGGTTTAAGATGAAATGGCGGGTAATAGGTAAATAAAGCTAGATCTGCGAAGATAGCTTGGTTTAGTGTAAAATTCATCGATAAGAGTGCCATTCAAAACGTTTCACTCGTTCAAAGGACAAATAAAATGCTGACGACTTTGTTGCACAATGACATGCTGGTGAGATAATTATGTATTCGTTTCAAAAGTATCTGTCTGTAAATTATTTTCCTCCCATAGGTTTTAAATTGCCCGTGGTAGCTATTGCATATTGCCAGCGACATTGTTTAGGTCTCTGTTATAGCTTACAGTCTAAGCATCATTCTTCAGAAAAGGTTTGCTCATGCATCAGATGAATGAATAAAACTATGGGAGAAGTTAAGTCTATTTAAGGAAGAAATAAACAATAACCTGAAGAAATAAAAAAAAAATCAACTATTAAAAAAGCATATAATAATAAGGAATGTTCTACTTTCCTATTTGTAAGCATTATGTGTTCAGTGGTAAGGATAGCATAAAAAAGAATGTACGAATGTTAAGGACCCTCTCTACACCAGTATAAAATGTTTTTTGGATATTGAGAAAAATATATTCTATAAAGGTGTTAGTGTTGAGCTTAATTATATGATTTTCAACATATGGTGCGTGGCATTTACCCCCAGGAAAAATAATCAAACACAGCACAGTATCAGTGAATAAAAATCACTGTTGTTTACTTCCATTTGGGAAAATACATGCAAATAACATGTTCAATTAATTTATCTTGGCCTTTTAAAATGTTAAGAATGCCTGAATTGATTTAGAATTGTGTAATAAACTGTGAATTTCTAATTTTAAGAATTTAGATATAAGGGCAGATCACTCTAACTGCCAAAAAATACCATAGAATTAGAACTCTTTAGTGTGCAGTGTAGAGAGGGTTCTTAATAATTGATTTATCAAATTTTTTTTTTTTATTTCCTTCTCCCTCAGGACTTTTTCATTCTAATGTTCATAACGATTAAAACCTAAAAATAAAAAATGCTGGCCTTATGATGAAGAAAGGGGTCTCTTTAAAAATAGATAATTTCAGGGCCGCTGGGTCAGAAGTTCCAGGGGGTACTTTGACTAAAAATAAATTAATGCTTTGAAATCTGCTCTTTGATAAGCAATGGTGTGAATTTCATGGCTTTTGGATTAAAACGCAAACCAAATACAATCGCTGGAATGTTGTTATATGATACTCAGGTGACCTATAAGGCCCGCCGGCCTCTTGTTTGATATACAATCTATTTATAGATCCTTTTTTAATGCATACAAGGTTTTTAAAAAAATACCTGATTTTCACTGGACAATGCGCATGCAGCGGCAATCATCATCTCCGTTGTACTAATTTCTGTCACAGTTTTTCCACCCTCGCAATTTTAATGTTTCAAAGTTCAAAAACTGCATTTTTTTCATTTAATAAAGTTTTAAATTTACTAATTAATGAAAAAATGAATAGCTAGGTCGCCATATTATTTAAGATGGGAGACATAAATAAACAGACGTACATGTCAACATAATAAAATAGTACATTTTTTTGTAAACAGTATCATAAAAATTATTTAAAAACTGGGTCATATGCATAATTCTGATGCTGAGAGTTCCTTATTACATGCTGCTCATCAGATACCTTGGAATTGTAAATATCAGGGAAACTGTTTTACATTAGAAGTGCAAAACAGAAAAGGCCTGAATGAAGACACTTGATATGTTGTTATTGCCCTTGTCAGCATTTTTTGAACATGGAATAATTGATTAAATGAAGAAAATATGTATTTCTTAAATTCTTAAATTGAACAATATTTATTATTACACCTATTGAGAAGCATTCTTCCAAAAGAAATTGTTATCTTAGGTATGGATTTATATTGATAACAGATTTTACAAAAACATATGACATCATAGGAGGATGGAAATACCTTGAACTGCATCGGAAATGTCAAGCACGTCACTAGTGATTCTTAACCATTTAGGGAAAACAATATATATGACACAACGAAGGGAAAAAATAAGTGATCATAATTTGTAACTTGAACTTTTTACATGTCTCATGAAATCTTGCAAATAAATTCATTATAGCTATATTTAATGTAGTTGACCAGCAAAATATTAAACCTGCCGTCCATCAAATTATATTTAAGCAATAAAATAAGATTCTATGTAGGTTCGCAGCACTTTTCACAAACTATATATAGTGTTTAAAAGAATTATAAATTAAACTAACATTTTTTAATTTGGTTATGCCCTTGCAATATTTGAATTTATAGATGACCTCTAAAATGCAAGTATCAATGCTATAATCATGTGACTCCGACATAACGTGACAAGTCTAAATAAAAAAATCTTCATACCCTAAATATGTAGATTTGAACCACATTACATTATTGGATATCAGTGAAGTCCTAAAAAGAATAGCCCATCCTTATAAAGTATGTATTTTTTTATCTAAAAAAATCGACGATATTTCCATCTGTAACCTTAACTGTACTGCGTAGAGGCTGTCGCAATAAACTGCAGCTAAAATCCACATTTAGTTCCTTGGTCATTCCCTTATATTTGACAAGGGACGATACCTCAAAATTTTATGATTTACAGAAAATATAAATTGGATCTCCTGTCTTATCGAGTTGATAAAAACACACAACAAATTGGAAGAAATCATATCTAACTACTAATTATGGGAAATTCTTTTTATCTTCCGAAATAAATCAAGGTTGTTTCGGACAGAAATAAATCAAGGTTGTTAAAATCCCTGCTTCTGGTACTTGTATATAAGTAGAAAGAACTGTGCAAACAGCATGAACCTGAAAACCTACTGCTTTGGAGAAGTTACCATCTAAAAGTAATACTGGAATATTAATATGCAAAATAAATTTGACGATGGAAAGCTAAATTAACTTTGTTTGTCGGAATATATGGTTGTTCATTTGCTATTTTCGTCAGTAGGTTGTAAATGATGCACATTTGTTTTTTGAGACAAAGTGGGATATGCTAAAAAAAAATACAATTTATTACATTCTTCCGATCACAATATCATGTTTTGTATACCATCAATTTTTACACCGAGATAAACAATTGATAAATACTTTGTTTTTCAAAACGGTATCAATTATGTTTATCCTATTTCTTTTATATGGTTTTGAATTCTTTCTAGTAGATGCACCGGTCTTTTTGCAGCTACTTGTATTGTGTTTATTTTATTGGTCGAAGTTACCCAATACCAGGGGTATCTTCGACCAATTTCTGTTTGCATTTAAATTATAACTTTTTTAAATACTACGTTGTTTAAATCAAATATGCGTAAATTTCTGTTGCAAAATATTCTAAAGTTTTACGTCAGAGATTTTCATAATGCATTGATTTACTTTCTATAGAGATAATGCCACTTTAGAAAATTTCTCGTTTATGATACTCGGGCCTCTTTATTTGGATATCGTAATGTTACAGCTAATAACTAATCTTCATCGATATAAAAATATTTTCAACATTAAACGTACAAAAATTCATCTTATTTCTGCCTGTTCTGCAAGAACGTATGAATTATTAGATTATCGATAAAATATATTGAATGATATTAAAGGTAGTCGTGAAATGTTGAAATTGCACATGTGGTCAGTTCCACAGTCCTAACTTATTTGCTTACTAATTTGTCAGTCTTTAATCATATGAAAAGAAGATTCCTTTACAGCTTTGGCTGAAGTACAGGGCATGATTACCTTGGTTTGGCTCTGGTACCCCCTCTGATATTTTCAAGGGTCCGACTTTTGTCTTCTCTCAGTTAGTAAAATTTGATTTCTTTGCCTGATTACAGTTTGATTTCAAAATATTTTACGTGGTTGATGAAGGCTCCTTTTGTGTAAAAAAGCATTTTTAAATTTGGAAGAAATTTAAAAGCAGGCAAAGTTTATTTCAAAGAATTCAATAAATTTTCTTAATTATCTAGGTTCTACTTTTCATTAAAAATTTTGAGGTTGTTTCTGTGTTAGAAAGATCTTAGATAAGAATTTTACAAAAGCACAGAACAAATTACATTTAAGTTTTATTTCATTCATTTCATTTCATGTTTATATTAAGACAAAATTCGGAAATGACATTCATTTATTAATTCAAACTCAAAAACTCAAAATATTATGCATTTTAAAAAATATTAAAATTTATTTTACACGTATATCTAAGTTTCTAGAGGAGGTAAGTCTTCCGTGTTAACCTTTTTGTAAAGAGTTAATCCTACATTTCCTCTAGTTCTTGCCTCGTTTCTAATAGACCAATTCTCTGTCATTTTCCTGTAAAAAAATAAGAATAATTAGTATTAATATTGTTACAATTAAATATGTATCTGGTCTACAACATTACTCCCAATTGATTTTATGGTACTCTTTAGGCTTAAAAAATATTACATCTGATAATTTTTTTATTACTACATTGATGGCACAGTGGTTACAGCGTCTGCTTTGGAGTCACAAAGTAAGGAGTTGATCTTTACTTCGTGGGTTTGAATCCCACTGTGGGACGTGGAGACCTGTCCTTCGGATGAGACCGTATAAACCGTGTCGCAGTAGGTGCTGGCACGAAAAAGATACATCACTGTACAATGGCTCTAGTTGCCGAGTAAAGGACAATTTTTGCAGCAATCCACCGGTGGTGGAGTCTGCATATGAGTGAAAAATTCTAGAGAGGGACGTTAAACAACAAACAATCAATCAATCATACATGTAGATTGCTTCGGACATTTTAAAGAAATAAAATTTCAATGTAAGCTGAAAAAAACTCACATTTTAACTTTATAAATAACTATTATGACGATGGTTATGACACAGACAGCAACTATTAGCGACACAGTTGCAATAAATATTGGATTAGAAAATAGGGATTCTTGTGAAACATTTCCTTCTGTTGAAGACAGGCAGTCTGAAAAAAGAAATACAGTGTATTCAATTAGAATAAGATAGCAATACATGTATCGCCATATACTGTATTATTAAATTTAATAGTGTTATCCTTTGAATCATATTTTATAACCTTGATTTTGATTTATTTGTTTTTCTTGAAATTTTTTCACATGGATACTGAAAAAACATTCGTTTTGTTTAATGTGATATAAATATGAATAAATTTGGTTTCGACAATGTCGAGTCATAAAGAAACTTTGAAAACACAATTTAAGCGTATTATTATTCGCTTTTTGTGTTCCACATAGCAGTATTGAATGTCTGTTTAACGAGTTATATTGAAAATTTGGTCAAAACATGTAGGCAAAAAGTAATTTTCTTAAGCCACCCCTGCACACCCCCTAACCCGAGACCAATAAATGGGTGCTCGGTCAGTAGACCTAAATTTTTTATTTAAAGTATGTTTCAAAAAATACTTTGACATAACATAATTTGATATATAAAATAATTTGACATTTAATTTGACAAAACATTATTTGAACACAAACCTGTGTCTGTAGAAAATGCATATACATTGTTTGATGAGTTGCAAAACTGGCCGGGAATATCAGGATTTTTTTCAAAATCTTTGAAACAACTTTCTTTTATGTAGCAGTGTCCTAGAAAATAAATATGCTATTTTATTATTATTAATGGAAAATCACTCAAAATAATTTAATTATTATCTTGAATCTGTTTACCATCCTTTATTTTCCAAACACTTTTGTTGCTGGATGAATCGCAAACTTTACAATCTTTTCCCTGTTCTGATCTTCCCTGATTCACGCAAAGTCCATCTATCAAACAGTGACCTGAAAAATAAAACACAGCTTAAAAACAATATTAGTGATATTGTTCTTGGAAAAATAAAGTGTTTTCAATACAGAGAACAATTGCACCAAAAAACTCCTTCATTCATATTACATCAAAAGTTGTGTCCACAAATATAAAAGTTTACATCCTTCATCCCTTAAGAAAATTAAAAGGGACATGGGCACAGTTTCAATTTATTTTTTTAATGTTTATTACTCCAAATAAAAGCAAAATTTGAACAAATTTGAAAATTTGTTAATATACAAAGGAGATATAGAACTTATAATTCTTCATAGTGTAAACAAGGCTCGTGGCTTGCTTATGCTTACATAGAGATAATATCATATCACAAAACAAGAGTCAGTAAGTCAATGGAAACTAGTCTTATGATATAAGAATTAATTTCTTTGTTGACAAATTCTGCAGTTTAGAGCTCTAAATCTTTCTTGTGTCTCGATAAATAAGATTAAAATTTTTGATAATTATTAAAAATACCATAGAATTGTTAGCAGAAAAATGGAAAAAAAATTGAAGATTTTCAGCTAAAATTGTTCCGTGGCCCTTACATTTATTAAATATTTATTAATATTGAGTCAGAAGTAGGTATTACTAGCTCTATATATCGCAGAAAAAAGTAGTTGTATTATTTACCAGGACTTAATGACCATTTTCCTCTGGTAAGTGATGTGTTGCAGTATAAACAGTTTTTGACATTGTTCTTCTGACCATCTGCCACACAAAGATCACCGATATTGCAGTATGCTTAAAATATAAATCAATAGATTTAGTTCTTGGACTTATACTTTTAAATCCGAATACTTCAATGCATTGACATCAAAATAATCTTTAAGAACTGCATCAAATTACATGCTACCCAAAAACGCGCTGATATTGAAAGTCGATATTTGATTCTTATGAATTCTGAAAACAGATAAACTGCATTTTCTATGAAAACTTCCACCGTAACTTTATAATAAATATACCTGAATTTGATGAAAAATCAAACACATCGTTCTGTGTATTGCATATATGACACGGATAAGTTGTATTCACTTCCATGTTTTTATAGCAGGTGTCCTGTATGTAGCAATGCCCTGTAAAAGAATTGCTTCTCTTAATTTTCTGTCCAACCCTGTCTATTTTAACACAAATATGATTTATCTCCAGTACCATCTTTTATTTGCCAGGCACTGTTGTCGGTATGAACGTCACAGACTCTACAATCTTTGTTCTGCTGGGTACTCCCATGTCTTATGCAAACACCATTTATCATGCAAAATTCTGAAAGAAAAGCAGTTCTCTTAAAAATACAGAGCCTCATAGAACTTTTAAATTCAAAAAGCAAATAAAAAATGAGAAAAATTATAAAATGATAAAAAATTTGAGTTTTTTTTAAAGAAAAAGGTAGGTTGAATTATGGATAATTTGTTTATTATTATGCTAAACGCAGCAAGGATAAGGCTGTCCGTAAAATATCAAACTGTTCAAACTGTAGTAACTTCTCTGAACTACCTAGATATGACGTCATAATAGAATATGACGTCAAGTCACTGCATACTTGAGCTGACATGACGGAGAAAGTGTCATAATTTGTAGATGGCATGTAGATTTAATTTAGGACCTTATTGTTTAATTCAAGTGTAAGGATTGTTTTTAAGGTCCGATATGTTATTATGAAGTTGAACATTTGAAATTTAAATGTTCTTGTTTCTTTTGCTTGTCTGATATGCACATAATCAAACAATAGAAAAAACTTATGTGTGAAACACTCCCCTTACACGTCCGTAGACAGAGTTAGAATTGATGAATCGTGTTTATATTGGACTGGCACAAGTGAAAGACAAGGATAAATTGAAGATATTCTGCGTGAATCTACAAGCGAAGTATGTCCTCTAACTGAATTTTTCTGGGGGATTGTGTGTAGTTTATCCATTTTTGTATAAATTGCGATAAGGCGTGGAAAATACCCCCTCTTATGTTGGTAAGTTGGATTTCTCGTAAAATATTTTCTAAACGAGTAAAAATTAAACCTGCCCCCAGCACTTTCTATGTTCCAGAGATCACGATGAATCGATCAATGTAACAAACTTTGCACAATATTTTTGTTTTGCACTTGTGCCAAAGCGATTTTTGTGCAACATTTAGGAATGCCATAAATCTCCGTCACGTGATCAAAACAGTCATGTGACACCACAAAAATACTTTATTATAAAACCTGTTTAAACTATCATCTCAAGTTGACTGCAATTTCAAACAAGGGTTACATATTGAAATTAAAATCTAGCTCTAAATAAAATATATATTTTTAAGGCATTTGAGGCCTTCGGACAGCCTTATCATAGCTGCGAAATGAAAAGTATTCCTTGTCCCTTTTTGAACGAAACATGATTAAAAGCGTACCTTTGTATACAGCTGCAGATACGTATTCATTGATTACTTTACAAAGTATCAAAAACTTATATTCGTGACATATTCGTATAATTACCTTGATTGAATGTCCAGTCTTCCCTACTGATTGATGTGTTACAATATAAACAAGACTTGACTTTGTTTTTCTCCCCCTCAGCCACGCAAAGATCGCCTATATTACAGTATGCTTGAAAAAAGAAATCGACAAAGTTAACCATGTCTTACAGGGATTTGATGTACTGATTTATAATGTGGATAATGATATACTACAATAATATGAAATTTATTATATGCACCTTATCTACGTTGTAAAAATTATTGGTATAAATTACAATGTACAATAGCTTTTGTTGGAATGTCACAAAAATTAATTTTTTTTAAAGGTTTTTGATCATAAATATCTGTTTATATTTGGCGCCTGGTGGATGGGAAGTTAACTCAAAATTATGCAAAAAATATGTTAAACATAAAAAAATTCTTTCATATGATAGCAGGATCCATAGCAGGGCGAACTAATTATTATAAAAAAAAATGACTTTTCCATATTGGAAATAGAACGTTAAGAGTAAATTAGTTGACTTTTCAAAAAATAATATGAATTTGTTTATGCTCAGATCAATTCAAGATATACCGGTCACGGTAGGCTAGTGGTAGAGCGTTCGCTTCTTGATCGGGAGGCCCGGGTTCAATTCTCGATCGCGGCGCCGCGTCATAACTAAGACATAAACCTAGGTAGTGACTGTTCCTTTGCCAAGCGCTCGGCACTAGAAGTGAAAGTCACGGGTCTTTCGGATATGACCTTAAAAACGTAGGTCCCGTGTCACGGTAGGCGCTGGCACGATAAAGAACCCTCACTGCTCAATGGCCCTGAGTGCCGAGTATAGGTCTAAATTTGAAGCCCTTCACCGGCATACGGTGACGTCTCCATATGAGTGAAAAATTCTCAAGAGGGACGTTAAACAATATACAATCAATCAATCAATCAATTCAAGATAAACTGTGTCATTTGCAATATGTAGATTTTAATTAAAGTGTGCTGATTAATTGTCCTTATTCACAAAGTAAACATTAAGTAAATACCTGGGTTCGCTGAAAATTTATAAACATCATAGGATGAATTGCACATCTGACAGGCAAATGTTACATTCACCTCAGAATTCTTGAAACATTTTTCTTGTATATAACAATGGCCTGTAAAAAGATAAATAGATTTTATTTCGTGAACAACACAATAAGCTTTTATAACATTATATATTTTTGGCCTTACCATCTTTTATTTGCCAAACTTTTTTGTTGGTATATGCATCGCAGATTCTGCAATCTTTGTTCGTCTCTGTGCTCATATGTTTTATGCAAGTTCCATTTATCATGCAGTATTCTGCAAATTGAATCAGCTTTATAAAATAACACTTTAAAGAAGTCGAAGCCTCACATAAAATATTGCCATGTTTTCTATTTTATTTTTAATTTTTCAGATTAGCACATGCTGAAGCATGATTGAGAAGGGAATTATAAAAGCATATACCACTGTTTATTTTTACAGTGTTAATTAATTCCAAACATCAGTACATGTAATTGCTTGTTCCTTAGGTTTAATCAGAATCTTTAAGCATATTTACATGTATTACATCCTATTCTGTTTCTGCCTAACAATGTACTAAGCTTTATTAGGTTTCAAACATTTTCGATTGCTAGTTTGTTTTTCATTGGTTTTACCTTGATTGAAAGACCAGGTGTCTAAACTGAGTGACGTGTTACAATACAAACAGGGTTTGGCAAAAAATTTTTGTCCGTCAGCAATGCAGGAACCATCAAAGTTACAGTACCCTTTAACATAAAGATACAGTATTTTTTTGCTATACATCTACTAAAATTTAATTTAAGATGGGTCTTTATTTTCATTAAAAGCGCCTTAATATTTTGCCTTAAAAAATGAAAATAATATTCGCTTCAAAGGAATCAATTATAAAAATATTTTTATTTAGAAAATAAAATTAATCAAACATTTTGTTTGTCCTATTAATCGGTACTTAAAGAGCCAAATATTGGTTTGATTAATGAATGAGTTTGATGATATTTATTTCCAAAACGTATACTTTTGTATCTTTGCACAGTGTAAATAAGCTAACAGTTCTTGTCTTTCCAGAAAAAAAACATATATGTATGGATTTATTTACCTTCGTTTGATGAAAACTCATTAACATCCTGATCTGAGTTGCAAATCTGACAGGGAAATGATACATTCACCTCCATATTCTTAAAACAGTTTTCTCGTATGTAGCAGTAGCCTATTCAAAGAATCATGTTTCATGCTTGTAATATGAATAAAATAACTATAATTAAAAAAAAGGCATGATTTATTTCTTAGCTTTACCATCTTTTATATGCCAGTCAGTTTTGTTTGAATTTACATCGCACATTCTACAATCTTTGTTCGGTTCGGAGCTTCCATGTTTTATGCAGCTCCCATTTATCATGCAATATTCTGTAATGAATAATATGATTCAATAAAATGAATAATTATTATAAAATGGACATTACCAGATGCAAGCTGAGATTTGTCTTCAGTGGCCTTACCTTGATTGAAGGACCATATTTCCTGGCTTAGTGACGTGTTACAATACAAACAAGACTTGCGATGGTTTTTACTTCCATTAGGCACACACAGACCATCAATATTGCAGTATGCTTAAGAATAACAACCAAAAGCACTTATGTTCAATTCTTAATCAAGTTTCCGTTTTTATACACTCTATACTTAATTAAGTTCTTTATTTAAAAACCAGTCATGATTTTGTTACATAGTGATGTCAAATAAAATATTACAGCAGTGTTAGGAAAAATAGAGAAAAAACTTTTTACTCAGAGGTACTTTCCAGCAACATATCTATAAAATACATCTTTACAATCATTTAACAAATAAAGTCTTAACAATCTTATTTTCATTTACATATTCTTTTCAGCAAACGATTACAATGAACGATTAAGATTAATTGACATTCTGCATTAACTAAAATATTTTTCTGGTAATAGGATACAAAATTTTTTTTTTTCAAATTGAAAATTAAGAGAAAATGCATAAAAATATTATGTCACTGTACCCATCATAGAACGTTATTTATAAATTTATGTTTATACCTTCATTTGATGAAAATTCGAAGATTTCGCTTGATGAATTGCATATCTGACAGGGAAATGTGGTATTCACTTCCGAATCTTTAAAACATGTCTCATGTATATAGCAGTGACCTTTAAAGATATGTGCATGTGTAAATATTTTTAGTTTATAATTATAATGTGAACAAAACTTAACGAATGTATTGTTCATAAGCAACATGGAAATGTTTACCATCCTTTATTTGCCAAAAGCTGTTGTTGCTATATGCATCACAAACTCTGCAGTCGTTGTTCTTTTCGCTACTCCCATGTGTAATACAATCTCCATCAATCACACAGAAGTCTATAAAACGTCATATTATAGAATGAAATTTTAAAAAGAAAAAAAGATTATTTTGCAACCCTTTTAAGGCTTATAAAGTACTTCAAGTTTTCTCTAATTTAAATAAAGACCTTATTATTTGAGGAAAAATACTTGTTATTATTGCATATGCTTTTTCACTAGTTTCTGAACCTATTGGAAATGTACATGCTCTCTAAGCTTTATCCAAGAAATAAAATACATATTATTCCGGTTCATACAATCTGATAATAAGGTTTTAAACTGTAAATAGCATCTTACTTATATGGCATATGTACAAGTTTTAAATGCAAGATAAGCCATCTGTTTTGTATAAAATTTGTTTAAAGTATGACAAATTATGAGCTTTAGAGACGTAAGAATAAAATGACAGTGAGATAATAAAAAAACAAATCTTTATTGCTGATAATAATATTAAATCAGACCATCGAATTGGTGTGAAAAAAAGATCAGTCAGAAGTATTTTTCAACCATCTGTTTTTTTTTCTTTGGTTTATCTCCAGCAATATTTCACTCATATTTGATAGTCGATGATATTGGAGTGAAAGGCTTCATATAGTATGAATGTCAATGAATAGAGCTTAAATGAAGTAAACTGATTTTTATTCAATGTTTCCTGGGAAATTTAAGTACTTGATTCTCTATGTTTTTAAAGTGTTTACAAAAAAATGTACCTTGACGCAATGACCAGCTCTCCCTGTTGCTTGTCGTGTTGCAAAAAAAACAGGACTTCGTCTCATTTCCCTGATCATTGGCTACACAGATATCATCGATATAACAGAATGCTAAAGAATTAAGTAAAAGAGAAAATAAATTATTCCATTACTGAGATCAAGATATTATCAGACTCTTTGGTAACTTATCTTTTATTTACTATAACATAACACTTCCTAAAGCTTTTACTATAGTATAAATGCTGTATTTGATTCCCTCTTTACATAAAACATAACAGAGAAATTGAGAAGAAAAAAATGTTCAACTTGTAATTAGTGCCTGGTTCATATCTTTTTATGAATAAACGTGGTGAGTTTCCATTTACACAAAAATTGCTTATGACATGTGAGTGTGTTTTTGTACCAAGGTCATTATTGCAAGTTTTAGATCATAGTATAAATAGTTAATAATGTGTGTCTGGTATATATCTTTAGTTTTTTTTTTTTTTTTTTAAATTTGGATTTATCTTCGTTTCATTCATAAAAAATATAATGGACAATTACATTTGCATAAAATTTGTTAACATTTTTCTTTTCTCTTAGGTCCATAAAATATTCATAAATTGGCACTTTTTCTGAACAACCCAGCGGGGGTATTTTGTCACTTTTGGACAATTCTAGTTAATACAGTAGTCTCCAAATTAAGTTGGTAATGCGGGGTTAAAACTTTATATCTATATCTGTAACTTGGGGTCCAATTCATACAGTGTGTGTTTTTGAGTAAAGTTATTTATATATTTCCAGACATATCTGAAATAATTCAGAGTTTCAGTGTTTGTAAAAGAGGATCCATCAAAAATGAAATAAGTACCATCTGCCAGTTGAGAAATCTTTTTTCAATATTTCCAATGGTAATACCTTTAATTTTTTTCACCTTAATTTATATAGTTTAATCTTTGCACGTATAAATAAATATATCTACGGAGACCAAGAATCTCCATGTCTGCATCCCTCTTGAATATCAATTACTTCAGAAAAATTACAGCCTTGATTAACCGTTGCTTAAATATAGGTGTAGAAAAAAGTGACCCATTTTCTAATAGAATTAAAAGGGCCAAAATTTAAAAAAGGGGGGGTGTTTCTTAAATAAAGTTCCTGGAAAGAGAACCAAATGTGTTCTTAAAATCATCACTATAAAAGTCCTGGATTTTTTTTTCTTCTGTAAAGTACATTATATCAGATTAATCAATCTTATCTTTTAGTTTAACTAGGGTATTTGTATGCGGAAAAGTAGATCCGTTAAACCGATCTGCGTCATTCAAATTTAAAATAAGGTAAGAAATAGTTTCTTTTATAGTAGATAATGGGAAAATTTTGCCTTCTTACTTCAAATGAATCCTTCAAAAAATAGTCCATAAGAAGTCTCTTTTTCACAAAATGGTTGACAATTCCACATTGACAGAAAAAAAGTCCACAAGTCGACAGTTGACACCTCTTATTAGTTTATCAGCAGTTAATTAAACGTCCTGTCTACCCGTCGACCTGCAGCCTCTCATACTGTCGACCAGACAACCTGTTAATATTCACAAAGGTCGACAGGTCCACCGTTGACACATCTCATTAGTTTATCAACAGTTAATCAATCGAACTGTAAACCCATCAACCTGTCTACCCGTCTACTCATCGACCTGTTAACCACTCGACCTGTCAACCTGTCAAGCTGTCAACCTGTCTACCCTTCGACCTGCCTATCAATCGACCTGTCAGCCTGTCAACATGTCAACCCGTCTACCCGTCTTCCCGTCATGTCATATTTATAACTTGGTAACTGTTATATACTACAGTTAAGGTAATTCCACCCTCCTATGATGTCATAGGTTTCTACAAAAACTGTAATTAGTTTAAATTCATACCTAATAGAACGATATCTCTTGGAAGAATGCTTTAAGAATAGGTGTAGTGATAAATATTGTTAAGTTAAAGAATTTAAAAAATGCATATTTTCTATATTAAATCAATTATTCAAACCGGTCACGGTAGCCTAGTGGTAGAGTGTTCGCTTCGTGATCGGGAGGCCCGGGTTCGATTCTCGATCGCGGAGCCGCGTCACACCTAAGACGTAAACATAGGTAGTGACTGTTCCTTCGCCAAGCGCTCGGCACTAGAAGTTAAAGTCACGGGTCTTTCGGATATGACCTAAAAAATGTAGGTCCCGTGTCACGGTAGGCGTTGGCACGATAAAGAACACTCACTGCTCAATGGCCCTGAGTGCCGAGTACATGTACAGGTCTAAATTTGAAGCCCTTCACCGGCATCGGTGACGTCTCCATATGAGTGAAAAATTCTCAAAAGGGACGTTAAACAATATACAATCAATCAATCAATCAATTATTCAATCTTTAAAACATGTTGACAAGGGCGATAACTCCTTCTAAGGTCTCTTCATTCAGGCATTTGCTTAATTGTAATATAGTTTCCCTGATATTCACAATTCAAAAGTATCTAATAAGTAGAAAGTGTTTCGGAACATTCAGCATTAGAATTATGTATTTTAACCAGTTTTTACATATTTTTCATAATACTGTTTACAAAAAATGCGCAATTTTTTATGTTGACATACACCTTGTTTAATTATGTTTAGCTTCTTAAATAATATGGTGACCTATACATTTTTTGCAATAATTGGAAAGTTTAAAGTATATTAAATGAAAATAAACGCAGTTTTTGTACTTTGAACCTATAAAATTGTGATGGTGGAAACACATTAAAAATAAAATAATTAAATACAATGGGTTACATTATTTAGAAAATGCAATGAGAGGTGAGGTATGATATTATTATGTCAACGTGTGTATTTTGATTGACTATTTAGAAAAAAAAACATGTTTAATCATAATCAAACTGATACATGTATTCCAAATTGGAATTTTTGGGGTATTATTTACTTGATCAATTTTTTCTATCTATCCTTATCGTCAGGTAAATATAGATATTGCATTATTGATACTTTTTCAGTATTTTTTTTTTTCGTATTTTAAATTCAGTTACATGGATGATCTAAAAATAATTTTCTAGCAAAATCTCGTGTTTACCCAGATTTGGAGACAAGGAGTACATGTTGGCTGATGTATTACACATAAAACATGGGTTTATTTTGTCTGACACTCCATTCTGCATACAGGAATCATTGATAAAGCAAAAACCTACAACAAATACAAAGTGGTAAATTTCCCCATCAAAAGGCACACATATGATGTGTTTTACATTTAGATACCCTGAACGTTCAAAAGAGAATAATCAAAATAAATAATATCAAAAGAAAAATCAATGCATTAATTTAGCTCATTTTTGTAAACTTTCTAACATTAATGGTTTGGAATATTTTTTCTTCATTTAAAGTTTGAATTTGCATGATTAGAAATCGTAAGCATTACATTATGATTTTAGATAAGGTAACAACAAATTTTTAAGGAGATTGAATATGTATTGAAAACAATACTTATGAAGCACACCGTGCTTTAAAAAAAATCAAAAAAAAAAATCTCCGAAAGCAATTAAATCCGCATATATTATAAATACATGTACTTAAAATACATAAATCATTACAATGGTTTAGAATATAAACAAGAGATTTAGAAGAAAACAATATTTGATAAAGTATTTTGTAATCAACAACTTTTAAAAGAAATGTATAACAGATATTTTGAGGCAATAAAACAGCCAGCGAGTAGGTACAAAGAATGTAAATTGCATTTTCAAATACCGGTATTTAATTTTTGAATTTTGCATATACGTTTTAAAATTTTTATTTCTACAATTGACTTAATGTGTGTATTTGAGATTTCTGTAGAAAAAAATTACCTTGATCCAATGACCAGATTCTTCGGTTGATTGTTGTGTTGCAATATAAACAAGATTTATTGTCGTTCTTGAAAGCATGACCAACACAAAGTCCATCAATATCACAGTAACCTAGTGAAGAAAAGTAAAAAAAAAAGATTTTTATCAGATGAATTATAACCAATCATTAACTAATTTATTTATAAATATATACAAGGGCATGATGTTTTTCCATTGATTTTCCTCGAATTTTGAAAAGTGATTCTTAGGCATATAGACAAAAGATCATACTTAATAAATAATACTTTAATCATACTTTTAAAAAATCATTCATGATTATTTTTATTAATTCCTCTCAATTTATTTATAACATTTTGCAAGGGGCGATCACATGTTAATCAAAACATTGGGACTTTTAATTATTACCGGCCGCCAGGAGGCGGTCGGTTATATGATATGAAAGTTTGAAGTCGCTGTGCGTTTCTGCGGGGTTCAAACAATTTTAATAAAAAATATTTAACATTAATATAATAGTATATTAAAAAGAGCGTCTAAATGTTTAACAAGAACGCATAATAAACATAAAATTAAAATTCTTTATGGGGTATGGGAATGGGGTAAATATTTCATCCAATCCTGATTGAGAAACGTTGACATGTTTGAGGTGCGGAGAAGGACGCGTGTTGGGCATAGTCTAAAGCAAAGACCGCGTTATGTATATTACACAATTTTACTTTCTCTATTTAAAAAAGATTTGAAGTAAGTATTTATTTTTAAATCGGACATGTACACATGTACATATATAAACATTTTCAAAAATATGGTTAAATGTTAAAACATCAAAAGACCTAGCAGGCTACAGAATATTACAAGATTTGGCCGTAGCAGACGAGGATAATCACGTTTTACAATGTGCCAAGAATTTTTCCCGCTACACTCGAAGAAACTGAAAGAGAAGAAATGTAGTGGCGGATCTAAAGGGGGTTTAGTTTTTTCCTCTAAGAGAGAGCAAGGAGCACCACATATTTGACGCGTTTTTATTAAATTATCAAATTGTAGCTTACATTAAAATTTAGTTTTAAACCTTTAATGATATTACCTAAACTTATACAGGCCCACGGTTTGTAGACGTAGAGGACCAGGGGTACTTTGCTTATACATGTAATACTGAACATACATTTTATAATTAAGAAAATCATGCAATGTCGCACAAGTGTTTAATGTCACGAGGATATAATTATATTAACAGATAAATATTAAGATATTTTAAAAACAGATCACCCTTTCAGTCTTTAGTTGCTTCATTATGTTCATAATAGGAACAAGTAATTGGTTTGCGGCCGATTTTTGACGCTTGCGTCAATATATGTTTCTTGTGATAATTATTGAAAAGGAAAGGAATTATTATACCTGGATTTGGAGTTAACGAGTCTCTGCTCGTGGAAATGTTGCACATCAGACAGGGATTTTTTTCCTCCCATTTCCCATCTTGTATGCAAGAATCATTGACAAAACAATATCCTGAAATTGAAAAAATGATCTATTTTCTTACTTGTTTCTTTAATAAGTGTTTTGATAATCAGGTTATGTTCCCTTGCCCTCTCCGGTCTCAGGATAAAAATTGAAAGATTTTAAATACAAGAGGCCTATGGGTCACATCGCTTACCTGAATAGCTTGGAATATGCTGTTCTTTACTAGAGCCCCTCCTTTGTAATCAATTTTGTGACCACACGCTACCCCAAGGATCATAATTTAAACAATTTAATATCTACACGACAGAGCGGTGCTTTTGCATAATTTTCAGCTTTTCTGGTTCAGTTGTTTCCGAGAAAAAGAATTTTAAAGATTATTTGCTATATATTTCAATGTACAATGTGGGTTCCAAATTGTGGCAACGTCCTATATACCCCCGCGGTCATGATTTTGACAAATTAGAATCTACACTACCCCAAGATGCTCCACATAAGTTTCAGTTTTTCTAACCCAGAGGTTTTTGAGAAGATTGTTTTAAAATTTCATTTCAACATTGATGTAATACAGTACTTGGATTCCAAATTGTGGCCAAACCCTACCCTGGGGGCTCATGATTTGTACAATTTAGAATCTACACTTCCCAAGGATGCTTCCACATAAGTTTCAGCTTTTTTGGCCCAGTGAATCTTGAGAAAAAGATTGGATTCTTTTTTCTATGTAAATCTTGGATCCCCTATTGCGGCCCCGCCCTACCCCTACATGATTTGTGTAATTTAGAATCTACATTACCTAAGAATGCTTCTAGAAGTTTCAGCTTTTCTGGCCCAGCCGTTCTTTTAAGAAGATTTTTGAATGACCCCACTCTATTTTTGTCTTTTCTTGAATATCTCCCATTGTAAAAGGCCTTGGTCCTTCATTTTAACAATTTAATTTTTTTTTATCAAAGAACGCTTTGTGCCAGGTTTGGTTAAAATTGGCTCAGTGGTTCTTGAAAAGAAGTCAAAAATATGAAAAGTTTACAGACGGACGGACAGCTAGACATACAGAAATCTACACGGACAGACGGACTGACAAATGACGGACAAAATGTGATCAGAAAGCTCATTTGAACCTTCGCCTCATTTGGATTAGAAATACATATTATGTGAATTATATGTATTTATTGGATCAGAAAACTTTAGTACGAATAAAAAAAATAAAAGTGATTGCTTTCCAGAAACAAAAATGATTAGAGCTTTTTTTCGTCAGTCTATCGGGAGAGGGCAAACTATTCACGTTTTAAATATGGACCTAAAGAGTTTTTTTTTTGTATTTTGCTGAGATTATGGTATAGGCATGAATGTGCACATCTTTTTACCTTGGTCCAGTGACCAACTTTCTCTGTTGATTGACACGTTGCAATATAAACAAGATTTATCGTCGTTCTTTGACGCATGCGCCACGCAAAGTCCATCAATATCACAGTACACTTGAAAAGAGAAAGTATAACAACTGAACATTCTTTAAAAGTAACTGTATATCAATTTCTTAGTGGAAGGATTCTGCTTTAAATATTTTGAAGCTAAAGCAAAGACAAAACATAAATAAAGATCAAAGAATCTTAATTTGATTGTATTCGAATTTATAAAAAAGTAGGTGGTTCAAGTGCATGTTTCCAATGACAAGAGAAACAAAACACTTACATATTTAAACACTCACGTGAGTAACCATAGCCTGCAGTTGTTTAATATCAAAATTTACACTTTCTTTTTTATGTAAAACTTTTATCACATATTATAACTCTTACCCCTGTGATCATAATAGGAACAAACGTGATTAAACACACTATGAAGATACTTAAATATAAACATTACTATTAGTAAACTTATGTATTACTTTGATCAACAGTTTAGTTATACTCTTACCCCGAAGGTAATGATCTGTATTTATGCACATGTACACTAGTTTTAAACATTTTTATTGAATGAATAAAAAACATATTAAATTATCATTTCATAAATTTGATGTATTTTTTATTGATATGTTATCTTGTAAAAAACAAACAGAGGTTAATAAATCAAAACAAGATTTGGAATTATGATTGAGAAATGTATTTTACCAGGATTTGGAATCAGAGAGTCAGTGCTGATAGAGATGCTGCAAATCAAGCAGGGGTTATTTTCTTCCGACTTCCCGTCCTGTATACAGGAATCATTAACAAAACAATACCCTAAAATTAATAAAATGTATTGCTTTCATTACCGTTGTCATTATAATGCAATGTCATTTTTAAAGAAATCAAATACTTTTTTTTTGTTTTCTGATACCAAGATCAATGCAAAATGAAATGAAAACTAGTACATTTCAAAGCTGATTGTAATAATCTTCTTGCAATGAAGTCTTCTGTACAAGATAGACTTCAATTTTTTAAAATTAAAATTACACATATTACCAATACTCAGAGTCCAGTTATTCCTGTACTGATTGGGATCACATATTAAACATCCGTTTATTTGATGATTCTCTCCCGCTTTATAGCATTGGTCATTAATTAAACAATGACCTAGATGAAAACAATTAATCTAAATTTAACAGTGAATACAATGCATAAGAAAAATAAGAAAAAATATGTTTATAAAAAAGCAGCATTAGAAATGTATTGCTTTCCATAAATACTGATTTTATAATAAGATATAATTGTGCAAAAGTTAAAATCTACCTTCATTGAATGTCCATTCCGTCCTGTTCCGTGTGTAGTTACATTTATAACAATCATTGTTTCTTTGAGTTTGGTTGTCAAAGTAGCAAATGTCATCAATGTAACAATATCCTTTAAAAAATCTTAATCATAAGTAAGGACCAAAAAAAAGCAATAAAGGGTGTCATATTAAAAAGGGACGTTTCTTACTTGATTTTATTTACTGTTACATCAGAAAGGATAATAATAGCGTAACTAAACTACTCTCGTATATGGTAAAGCAGTGTATTACACAGAAATACCTGGGTTATTTGACCAGTTCCACTTGTCCACAGAGGAGAGACATGCACTACACGGATTTGTCCCCCTTATTTCTCCGTTTCTATAACACTCACCATTTATTAAACAGTGATCTGAAATATGTGAATGTACCTGATTTTCTTATTAGTTTTGTAGAATCTTAAGAAATTATTTTCATCAGGTTTTAATGGCTGTTATCATCCAGAGTAATGTATACATATATATAATTATGAAGAAATAATGCTGATGTCAAATATCTTTAAGTCTATGAAATCATATGAGTTCTGTAAAATTTGAAATTCACCCAAATCACAGTCTTTGAATCAAACAAAAACCAAGAGAACTGTTCAAACTGATATCAGTGGAATGGATTTGAATGAAAGAAATCTTTTTATGTTGTATATAACAATTCATCTAGTTAACGTTCTGAACAATATCTCCACCCAAACGTTTGATAGCAAATCATGATAACTATATTCCTTTACTAACTCATTTCTGATCAAAATTAGTTGTTCAAACTACTAGTTTTTCCATTTTCCCTTTTTATTAACTATACATGTATTTTAAGATTGGTAGATGAGTAATTTTACGACAATTGTAACCTTAGTTATCTTTTCATCAATTTCTTCTGACAAGTCACTTTTTTCTAATAAATTCAATCATTTATTCATCAGCTTTTTTGCTATCAAAATCGTTCTATTAGAGAATAGTTACATGGTAACGTTGTACCCGCGAAGCCGGGCTCTCGTACACGACCATAACTTTTATCATTATAAGTAAAATTTGTATTTTTTAACATTTTTTTTTACTTTCTTATTTACCCGGATTGAATGACCAGCTATATTTGTCCTGAGTGATATTACACAAATCGCATTGGTTGTCACGATTTGTACCTCCATCTATATAACATCTTCCATCGATGAAACAGTAGCCACTCTAAAATTTTGAAATATTAATGGGTTTCTGAATACAAAACTGATAACCGGAAAATATAAAAGCATGAGTGTATCTGATAAATGCAGTTCGTTTGTGCAAAAATGAATCGAATTTGGAAGAAAAAAACCAAGAAATTCATACCTTTAACGTAAAACTGATGTTTCCACTGACATTTTTCATTTCCTGACAGTCTGATTGATATGTATACACATTAAAATTATCTGTAAATTCGATCCCATCGTTTGAAACATTGAATGTAAATTCTGTCAACCAGTGGGATTCAATGCTGTATGACAAAAGACAATATCCTTCAAATAGTGTTCTCGGCTCCAAACTGCTTCTAAAGAATTCTTGGGAATATGTTCCATCTTGCTGAAACTGAAATGCATTAAAAAGTAAAATAAGCTGAAACTTATAAAACAAATGTCATAATACGATAATACTAATTTAATTTAATTTTTATAGATAGATTGATTGATTGATTACTAAATTGAATTATTGAGTGTATATTGTTTAACGTCCCTCTCGAAATATTTTCAGTTATATGGGGACGTCACTGTATGCCAGTTAAGGGCTTCAAATTCGACCTTTACTCGGCATTCAGCAGTGAGGGATCTTTATCATCCCAACGCCTGAAGCTGACACGGGGCCTCGATTTTTAAGGTATCATCCGAAAGACCCGCAACTTTCACTTCAAAGTGCCGAGCGCATGGCGAAAGAAAGCTGATACCCATTTTTATCGCCTTGGGTCACACCCCCTACTAATGTTATTGTGACACTTGGTTTAGGTTTACATATTCAAAGGTTATAGGGTAGATCCAGTTTTATAAATAAAATTGGCAGTAAACAGGAAATTGCTATAGTCTATTTCTTCTGAAAACATGTCCTGTGAGAAATGTGTTTCCGCACCTTTCTTAAAGACTTTCGTGATTTTCAACAAAAAATTGTGGCTTAAGAAGGGGGGGGGGGGTTAAATACCAATTAATACATTTTATAGTTAACTGCAAAAATTACAGCTTACAAGATACCGATACGCTGGTAGAAAAATTTGTAATATCATCAACACTGACAAACCTTTGTTTGCCTTATATGGCTATTGCTAATAATGCGCACAGAGGATCTTACCACGAGCAACTGACCAATTGTTGATTGAATACGTTTACGCCAAATACATGTTTACATGTTACTTCTGGTTCAGGTCAATCTATGATCATGTCAATTGAGTGCAAAAAAAAAAAAATATAATTATGCACAAAATGAAAACTAAGAAAAATATCAAGGGCGTTTTTAATTTGTTGTTAACTAGAGAAAAATATGTTTAATAAAATTTATACGTATATATATACACGTAGTTAGTGTGAAGTAAAGAACATCAGCACTTCAAGGGTAAGGAAAATGAGTAGCTTATCGTATCCATTAGAATGGACAAAACATTTTTACTTAACTATACTCGTAATCACGTGTGTTGGATAGGGAATCCACCTGGCATTTGTATTCACCGATAGTACAATAAAGGAATTCATCAAGAGTAAAATTCCTGTCAGTAGTATTCGTATAGTAACCAATAATGCAATTCTCATTCATTTGATTTGTCAGTTAAATTGGTGCCTCATTTGCTAATCTGACGCCAAAAAATATAGTCCCGGTTCCTATGCAAAATATTTGTCCAAAAAGAAATTTTAATTCATGACAGCAGAAAATTCTATTTAAGAGAATACTAATAAATAATTTTGACTTGATGATATTATAGGGTGGTGAAAACTAAAACGCAACATTGTTTTCTATTTACCATGTCTCCACGTGCTAGTCACTTCCTAGCCACATTCCCGAGCATATTTTACCCTATCTAACTCTCGCCAGAGCTACTGTCAGAGCTACTCTGAAATCATCGGGTTTTATAATTTGCAGAAAACCGAAATATAAAAGGTTCGGAATACATTAGTAGGGGTGGGTCAGTCGCGGCCGAGATTCGAACTCACGACCATCCGATCACAGAGCAAGCGCTCTATCGACTGAGCTACCGTGAACGGTTTTATAAACAGAGAATTTAGGTATAACCATTTCGAAAAGGTATACAGTGTAAATGATTGCTACGAAGATTTTAAAAAGCAGTTATGTATAGTTAAATTTTAATTAAAACTTTACCGTTCTTCTTGTCATATAGCAATCAGTATCCATTTGTTCTAAAAACAGCTCTCCATACATAGTTATTTCATCGCATTCTTCATAAGACTTGTCACAGAAACCAAAGTCTGAAATATGTCTTATATTTGGAGGCCCAAGTATATCAAAAGAACAGTCACTTCCCGCAAAGTTTTTGTTGCAAGTACATTGTCCTGAAAGATATTGATTGCATGGTAAAAATAAAAATATAAATATGTGTATAAAATTAATGTAAACTGGTTTTTATTTTATTGATATAGATGCTTTTACACTCACACGTTCAATAGTCAAAAGATGTAGTAAGTTGCATTCTTTATAACTATTCATTATTAGATATACTGGAATATTATACACTTATCCATTTTTTGTGTTGGATAGCTCTTTTATCAAACCTGCGACAATGAACTATTCCCCGAAGCCTGACAGAGGGGAATTGTCCCTGTCAAGGGTTTGATGAAAGAGATATCCCACTCACAGACAGTGGATATTAACGTAGAACCTACGTCGTATGACATCATAACTAGTGAATTTGTTTGGCCTGTGCTAGATCCATTATGACGTCATAATTAATTCAATGTCACTTTTTCCCGAACTTTACAGCCTCAGTAGAAATGGTATTAAAAAAACACTGTATTTTATAATTTACAGAATTCAATTTAAAATCATGCCAAAATAATCTTAATTCGATCTATATATTTTTTTGCTTATAATGCCTAATGGCAATATATTTCTTGAATTAAAGAAACCTGTAGTGACCTTTCATTAAATAGATCTTGACCTTAAATAAGTTGACAAATCATGATATCTTGTGTAATGAAATTACAATGTATACAACTTACTGTAATAATGTAAATGGTATGTAACTATCTGACGGAATGCAAAGGTCCTTGCCTATAAAATCTTCATTTGCCAATTAAATAGTGTAATATTTTGAATTAATGTGTCTACGTCAAAGATGTACGTGTTGCAGATCGAGCGTACATTTTGTGATATCTATCATGAAATGATGTGAATTCCTTTTCATAATAATTTGTTACTTATTCATATTCTTTGAGTTTGATTACAATTTTTCTATCAAATATGATCTTTTAAATTAAAAGTATAATTTTTTATATACATTTTTAATCTGAAAGTAACCCCAGACAGTTAATTAATAATAAAATTCGTGTAAGTACAAGAAGGTCAAGAATATAAGCATCGCTAAATAACCTATCTCTCATTAATATGAGGGGAAAGGTATATATTTTAATCACTTTTTGTAATCATTTTGGTATGTTTTTATCATATTAAAGATTGAAAACATTGTGACATTGACTTCTCAAAAATATTTACAAATGAAGGGTGGAAAATTGACTGAAAATGAATAGAGTTCATTTGCCTATAGTTTTTAAAATGTAGACTTATCTTTTATGTCAATTGAATAAAAAAGAATTCATTCTCGGGAAATATTGCCTAATACTTTTCAATTAATAAAACAATAAAAACAAAGATGTTTATAGAAGTAATTTTTTGATTTTTTGTCTTCTTTGCATGACAAGTACCCCTAAAATGACTGAAATTGTGAAGTCGCAGTATGTAATTATCACTTCATGTTTCACAGGCTGCACTTCATTTAATAACAAAGAAACATGTCATATGCTTTTGACATTGATATGCAAGGGCTTATTTATCTTTATGAGAAGTTTGAAAATCTTGTGACAAAGTCTTAGACATAGGTTCTACCTTAAATGTTTTATTATACTGATATATAATATAATATTTTTGAGGTTTGAATTTTTTAGAGTAAGATAATACTACAAGAATAATCTGACATCCTGATGACGTTACAATGCTACTGAAGTCATTATGACATCATCAGTCAAAAGATTTATCGCTGGAAATCAAAATCGGTGGCAAATATTGCATGAAAATTTTCCGAGGTTGGATAGCAAAAACTATACCCCGGGATATAGCTTTGCTATACGTGGACTATCAAAGGTAACTATTTTACCTTTTGAAATTTCTATAGGAAACATTTTCACAGAATTATAATAAATGTAATTATCAATAAAAGAACATTATGTTTACTTTTTAGATGTCTGAAAGACATTAACAAGTGTATGATATTGAATATACATGTATAAACGATAAAAAAAAATACAAAACTTTGGTAAACATAACAACAAACTAATTGTAATGAATTAAATGTAAAAAAAATGTTGTTATAGCTCTATCGACTATAATTTTGTCAAATTTTGATCCAAGGATCTAGACTTCTCTGTCGTATTGATACGAATTAGATAATAACAAATCCATATTTTAGCAACATTAACAGATGATTTTCTTATTATCTATAAATAAAATGGAGAACTTTTTTTCTGCTGATATTTATACATTTCACGGACTACAAAGGTATTTTTAAGGAACGGATATTTATATGGAATTAAAGTAATTGTTGACAGAATTTCATGGAACCACTAATATCAACTGGTTATTTTCTCACAAATAACTTAGGGAAAAAAGGTGAAATGAATATATTTTTGCCCTATACTTCGCATCACCTTCATTACATTTCCCATTTCCACTACAGTTATTGGGACAAAGTGATTCGATGAAATGTGTCACTGATGGTTGTTCATTTTGAAAGGTTGAATTCAGAAGAACAAGACTAGAACATTGCTGTAGAGCTGATTCAATGTGTATCCTTGAAATATTTCTGTCACCGGTTACCTAAAATACAAGAAATATAAATTAATATGATTTATCTTGTGGCTGTCAAAAATATTTTCTGGCTGTCGTCAAATCTATTTCTATTAACTAGCTGCAATTCACTTATCTATGGCCATTGAGAAATCTATCGGGCGATATTGATTATTATTATCCTTCAGAATTATACAGTCAATCTGATTGGTTTCGTGCATGTCACTTGAGGTGTGATAATTCAGGATGTCTCCCTTACGCGCTGGGTGACATCTGTTGAAACCCATTAGATTACAATAGAAAAGCTCAAGCGCACATTTATAACTGTGATGTTACCCTTTGAATGAAATTGGAGTGGTTTAAGCGAGGTAACTCTTTAATTATCAAAAATATATAATTTAAGAAATATGCGGCATCGGTAAACAATAAATTCTAACGATAATGTCAAAGTTATCTGTTGACATATTTTGACAGTTTGGCATCAGAGCAGAGAAGTGGATCATGGGCGGGTTGATAACTATTTTCTACTCTATTTACTTAATAATTTAGATTTTTCAGAATAAAAAAAAACTATGATGGACTGTTAAGACGGGAGACATCACCAATTATCACCCTTGGGTGACAACCCAACCCAAACCTGATAATTAGTGATGTCTCCCTTCTAAACACTATTTAGTCATCTTTCTTTTATGATTATGAAATAGGTCAGGCGAGCGCGTAGGATGACAAATATGTGGTCTCCCTGTAAATGAAAAAAAACATACACGTATGTACGTATAATTAAAAAACAGATATATATGAGGGATCGGTTAACATTAACTTATAAAGGTGCGTTAAAGCTGTCTATATATTAAAATTGTGGAATCAGAGGAGAACACAAAATGTTTGACTGGTATTTATTAATAAATCTTAATAATAATTTAGCTTATTCCGGATAATGAAACTACCATGGACAGCTAAGAGGGGACACATCACCAATTAAACAGGTCTGGGTAGGGTTCTCACTTGAGGGCGCTTTTCTTCCTTCTAAACATTTCAAAATTTTATTTTGGGATATATAGCAACGGCCATTGACCATTGAAATATTTAGAGACCCTCATCAGCTATTAATGTATGAAATTTGAATATAAAGAATATCAACCATATAAACTGGGAGCAGTGCAAACACAATCGCCTGAAAGTATGTGGTGGAATCAGGTTCCATGGATAGTAAGCAGTGAAATATAGTCACATGTTGACTGACTTTTTATTACAAATAGTTTACGTCACTTTTTTACACAGAAAGTTTTTCGAACTTTATATTATATCCAATTCTAATAAGGAACAGACGGCAGATAGTGCGATTGCCATGGGATGATTAATACTGTCACTGATCCAGTTTCTGATGTAGTTAGAGGCCTTTGTTTGATAAAGGTACAATATCTACATATTTCCTCTGACCAACTGGAAATGTTTTTTCTTAACAGCATCCTTAGCCCTTATCATAAACAGTTCATTCATTTGATTACCAGTAGAAAGAATACCTATTTTGAAAAGTTAAAAGTCAGAACTTTTTTTCCTATCCCCCCACCTCCTCCTATCTTCATATTTTAGAATCAAATACCCATTACAAAAATCCAATGTAAAACCCTTCACAATTACAGATAAACATGAACCAATCTGGGAAGTTAATGAAATAACATAAGGATGGAACATGTTGAAAATAAAAAAAAAACAATCAAACAAAGAAACAAACAATTCAGCTAATGAGAGCATCGAGGCTACAAAACCAAAGTACAATTTTTACTTCTTTATAAACTCGCTTACAAGTGAAGGCAAAAGAAATGAATACGGTAGGTATTGTCCAAAATTAATGAAAGCAGTAAAAATATTGTGCTTTATTAAATGGATTTTCGATGTTTTCTCTGCATCATTCTTTTTCATCAAATACTCAACATATTCATTGAAGCTAATTAAAAAGAAGTATTCGTAAAATATGCATATTCGCTACTTTTATTATGACAGAACTGAAGTTTGAGCACCCAAAGTATAATATTCCTGACGTGGTATATGACCTTTACAATAAATATAGATTTTTACTTTCATTTAAATACAATGGTGTGGTACAGTTTTTTTTGCTCCAAAATTAACTGCAACATCTTTTTGAACTATAACTCTGTAGGCTATAACTGTCATTAGAAACTACAATATATACTATTGGAACTTTTCTGTCGGTCGAGGTAAAACAGAGGACGAGGTAAAACCAGCTCTAGCACTTTTCAAAATAGATGTGTAAAAGCTATTCCTGTTTTAAAACTCATTATAATTGGGCTTATAAAATTTTTGGGGCTGAACATATGGCTTTGTATAAAGCATACCCGATATTTCAAGTGAGTTTAAAGATAAAAAAAAATGAATTATATTCAACAAAATATGAATATAAAAAAATATGGAATGAAATATTCAAAAATTAGCATCTATTTTTGCTAACTCTCTCTCTCCTGTTGACGCAAAAATAAAAGTTTGAAATCAGCAGGCATGCTTATGAAAATTTTCTACGATGTGCCTTAAGACGCGTCTTAAAATATTTATTAGGACTTATCTTCTTTAGGAATATAATATAAATCTTAGGCTGTAAAACGAAAGCATCTTAGGAATATCCGAAGTTAAGATATCGTAAATTCCATCATAGGCATTTTATTTCTTTTTTGGTTTGTAAATTAAACTATAATCAGAGGTACTGTGAGCAATGAGCTCACTAAATGATACCCCCCGCCTCCCATATGATTATAATGGAAAAGACCATGTTTTGCTGTGACTGGGAAACCCAAAATATGTGTCGGATCAAAAAGGAAAATAGGAGGTTCACAATGGCAATATGTAAAAAGATTCAGTGAATGTTTCATTGAATTTCACTCAGTGGTTTAAGAGATGGGTATCCCAAAGCGTCACAGACAGACGGACGTACTGTTTACAGTATACCCTCCCACTTTTCAATTAGGGGTATAAAAAGTTCCTATTTCAAGTTTCCATCATATACATTGCGAATGTAGGGGGGGGGGGGGGTGCTGCAGTTGTTGTTATACAGCAAAATAAATCAAGAAACGGTGCGCTTTTTGTGCACAATAAATATACACTTTTAAATGGGTGGCACTTTATTGTCGTCCATTTCAATTTTTAAGATCATCGAGCTGACGAACCGCAGCTAATGTATGCAATGTATAGACTTTTCATACTCTGTCTGTATAAATGTTTTCAGGACCACAATGTGAACTAGTTGTTAACTAATTTTGCCATCCTGTATAAATAAAGGATATTATTATTATTAGTATTATTGTATAACAGTTACTGTATTAAGTAAATTAGAAAACTAATGAAGCAAAACTAGTTTTGCCCACATACATGCATAGAATACTATTGGAATCATAGCTACATGTAATGTGCACCCTCAATAAAACATCTGATAATCTTTTTTGTTTTTCTTTTTTTGCTTGTCAAGAAATTTTCGGTATGCAATGCTACAAGGCACTTTGAAAAATTACGCACTTTGAAAAAAATGTTCAAAGTGCGTTAAAGCTAAAGCACTTTGAAATTTTTTTTCAAAGTGCGCTGATATCGACCATATTAACGCACTTTGAAAAAAATGTGAAGATTAATCAATATTCTAGCAATTAATCGGTATGATAAATAACAGATCCTGGTTGGATAACTTTTTATGATAAAGTCACCTCAGGACCTAAGATATTGACATTTTAAATATTTGACGTTTTGTTCAAATAAAAGGGGAAAGGGTCTTTTTAAAAAAAAAGAGTTTAAGATCATTAATTCGTTTTTTTTTTAATACTAGTTTTTGATACATGTAAGTGGATGTAAATGTGTAAAGGGGGCACTAACAGTGGACAGCTTAAAGCAATTAGCATTTATCATAATAAAAAGGGGGCAATTTGATTGTTCAAAACTATGAAAATTATTTCTCTCTCATACGTTTTACTGTATAAAAAAATTTCTAGCTTTCATTTGTTTTAATTAACTCATTTAAAATTAAAAAATTTGCAACGTCATACCAGTTAGGTAAATACATAATTATACATGTATTCATGTAAATGTTTTGAGCAAGCATAGACATCGAGACCGGGCGTAGGCCCATGGGAGGTGGAGGGCTAAGTCCACCACTTATTTTGGAAAGATTATATAAATTGTATTATAAGCATTGAAAATGCAGCTTACCCTTTTTGGGTTTATAGCTCGACTCCCCCGTTTGCTACCTACATCTATGTATTGGAAAGATAAAGATTTGGACTGAGGGATCTTATACCCGTCTTCTCGATCCTCTTTTCGGCGGGAGTAAATCAATTCACAAGTTTTTTGAAAGATAAATAAAAAATAAAACCTTTCCATTACTAGAATATGATTTTTTTTTCAAAGTGCGTTAAGTGTCTCCATGGTAAAATATATTGATGTAGACTTTTAACGCACTTTGAAAATTTTTCGAATTGCGTTGACTTGGTCCGAAATTTAAAGCACTTTGAAAAACACAATACACATTAATACAATTACACGGTTTAATGCTTCCTAATGGATCTAGTTAGACTTCAGAAAGAAATTGATAATATACAACAGATATTTGATTTAATTATGCAAAGAATTAATTCTTAGTTGTTTTTCAGACTACAGAGCTTCTTAAAATTACAAAATCACCTAAGATATGTCTTAAGACAATTAAGCTCGTGGTTGCTCTAAGGTAGGAACAAAGATTAAGAACTCTCGAAAGAAAAGACAAATTTGATGGTCTCACTTAAGACTACAAAATGTCGTACGCTTGTCTTAAGATATACTTTAGACCCACGAAAGCTTCATAAGCATGCCTTCAGTCCACGTGTTAATTGTCATTGATTTTTTTCACTGTTTTCACCGAACTAAAATATGCATCATTGAGCATGAATTTAAGAAATTATTTATTGTAAGCATTTATTATTTTAAACTTAAATTAACAAATGTTAGGTGAACACTTAGAAGTTTGGTTCAGTGTATACCCTTGTAGCAACGCAATATGTAATAAACTGGCTTGGAGAGGCAGGAACTGGGAGGGGGTGTTTAGTTCGTAATTTGATCATTGTATTCCTTTTCACATGCAGAAACCGTCCACATTATTATTGTTTCGAGGGGCAAAGAGAGAGAGAGAGAGAGAGAGAGAGAGAGAGAGAGAGAGAGAGAGAGAGAGAGATTTTTTTTGCTGTTCTGCAATGTACGTGATTTGTAAAACTAGATGGAATCATAATTGTCTATAAACCTCCCTCTGCTATATATACTTACAACTTCCAGTACAAATTATTATTTTACAAAAATCCAATTCATGGCATGTGTCTATAATAAGGAAAAATCACTTGCATTGAAGGTCTTTTCAAGATGTCATGTCCTGTAAAACCGATGAAATACATGTACATGTAGTACATAATGAAAAATGTGCATACTAATTTAACATAAAACATTAGTGATAAAAAAAATTAATGGTATTTTTAATCTATTTTTATGCATTCTTGAACTTAACTGTTATGATCTGTAAGCATTTGATTCCAGAATTTTAGTGTGCAAAACTGACATCACAATTGCATCATTTACAAACAGTGTACCTGAGTTAGGGTAATGACGGAGTAAGATAGTTTAGCAACATACCATCAGATCCGAAATGCAGTTGTCAACAGCTCTATTACTTAAATCAGAGAGATATTGCCGACAGGTTTTAAAGGCTTTGGATTCCTCAAAAGCTTTGTTGCAAAATTCTTGGGATTCCTTTTCCGTCCTCAAGTCGTAGACTTGTCTTTTGCTTCTTTCCTAAAATTGTTACAATTTTCTCTCATTATAAAATTAAATGTAATTCCTGTTCATTTCGGCTGAAAAGAGAGTTATTTTTTACCGCTATATTAATTTCTTCAGCATCCAAAGGAGCATTTTCCATCATGTTTATAAGATGTGACAAATCCCTTTTCCTTCTTTTACGCGTAGAATCGTGTACAATGCATTGATAACTCCTTCCCTTATATTTGCAGTTTTCAAATGTACCAACATTACACACAATCTGAGCTTTCCTGCTTAGAGCATTACAGTCTGAACCTTCTTCTTGTGATGCATTACAAACGCAGGCTTTCGTAAACGTTTCTGAAATTGACCGTAAGTTTTCAAACACAGCTTTCTTATTCAGGAACAAATTTTCCTTGTCAGGTAACCTGTAAGTATTAAAACATCAAATAATTATCGTTGTGTTTGCAAATATATGTTGAATATTCTAATCTTTTTCACTTGCAGTTCTTTTTACATTTCTTAATATATGCGATGCACCAAGCAAAAACCTCCCTAAACGAAGAACTTTGACATTTTTAGCTTTTTATTGAGTCTTGTAGAGTTTTTCTTCCTCTTTCATTTGATGTATAACATAACATATGTTTCTGTGTATAAATGTATAAAATATCGCATGACAAAGACGGAATATTTACTTTGATTGATTGTATTCTGTTTAACGTCCCTCTTCAGAATATTTCACTGATATTGAGACGTCACCATTGGTGGTGAAGGGCTGCAAATTTAGGCCTATGCTCGGCACTCAGGGCCATTGAGCAGGGAGGGATCTTTATCGTGCCACACCTGCTGTGACACGGGGCCTCGGTTTATACGGTCTCATCCGAAGGACCGCCACAATTAGTCGCCTTTTACGAAAAGCAAGGGGTACTGAGGACTTATTCTAACCCGGATGCCCACGTGGCTATTTACTTTGACGTAAAGTGTACGCATGCGTAACTGCATGAATTTTCATAACGTAACATTGTAAAATAACGTGAAGCTATATAATAATTTGATGATATTTATATTTTCTAACTTTCGATTTGATTCCCTTAAAAATATCAATAGTTCAGATTTTTCATCGTAATAATAGAATTAACATTTTAAACTCTAGTATATATTTGGAAAACGAAAAAAAGGGGGGGGGGGGGGCACCAAAATGATTGACAAGGGAAAAAGAACAAAACTCAAATAAAAGTCTTTTCTTCCTCTAAAAGATTTTCCAATTTATGGCTTTTTTAATTCAAGAAAATGACAAAAACCTACATCACTCCAACAGTAAAAGGAAATAAGCAACATTTGGATGAAAAAAAAATCCTATTGTGGTAGTACAAACTATACATGCAAATCTTACTATGAGCTTGGGCTAGCAGGTTAATCCTTTAACTTATTTGGTAGAGCACTGGACTAGCTACACTGTATATATAAATTATATTTTAAAATATGGTTTGAAAAAAAATCTGCAATTTAAATGCATGTATGTTGATCATAATTTAATTTTGACCAATCACTGTATACTCACCGGATAACAAACCACAATAACAAAATATACATGAATCCCACAAGTAACACACTCAACAACTTCACTTACATTCATATCTAAACATAGACAATAAGATCTAACCTAAAGTTTACCCTTGCCTACCTGAGAAAGTACACATGCATAATGATATATTTTAATCATGTCAAATATTAGTTGCTTTTTGGAATAGTTTAAAATATGCATGTTAAAAATTGCAACATAAAGTAAGAGAACGGGTAAAACATAACATTCTTGATATTCTACGATTATCGTAAACAGAAAGGGGTGTGGGGACTGTGTCTCGGCTAAACACCTCACGCTTAATTATTTACCTGAACTAAGTAAACAAGAACAAGGCACACATGAACAATCTTAAATTGTAACTTTTGTTATTTTTTTTTTTAAATTATTAAATATTTAATTTATACATACGATTTTTTGATAAACGAGAAAGGTGTATGAATGGTTAAGTTGAACAAGCATGTAATATTCAAGTCGACCAACGTGTATTTATTTTATGTTCGATAAATCCTTTTCTGAAAACATAGAAAATTTTGTTCATTGGTTTATTTTTCATATTTTGTGCAGATTTGTACCATACTAGTTTTGCCTATTTTGCTCAAAAAAACCCATAGATGTACATGTCGGCATGTACAATGCGACTTATGCAGGACAAAATTATTGAAATTATGTTAGCTTGTTCCATGTATATATTATATTACGTGTAATTGTTGGCAAACTTTAGTAATTTGAAATGCATAAACATATTCATTTATATTGAAATTCAACAGAAGGAAACGAGATTATTATTTTCCAAGGTACATGTAGATGTAAAATAGTCCATGAGCCACTGGGGGTTGTCGACACCATTTTTAGTGAATAAATTTTATAGTGATATTTGGTAAGGTAAACCCCTAGCTAGTGAGAATTAGTACAGGCTAACAAATCAAGTACTGCCTCAAGAGCTGACTGAAGGCCCATCCAAAACACTACTAAATGCTGTACACCCCCTGCCTTTTCCATCTTCATCCTCTTCGAACTGGACTAGAAGGTACTTCAGTATCCTGCCAAAGTTATTTTTGCCATATTGATGCCTGGTAATTTGCTCTCAGGCAGTTCAAACAGTCTAAGCAAGGTGGAAGCTGGAGGCTCTCTATCCACCTTTTAGCACAAAATATTAGTATCTTAGTTCATTTACCTTTCTGGTTGATGCCTTTGGAGCATATAGATGGCAAGTAAATTCTTCTAACTTGGTCATCAAATCTTCAGAGAGGTCCCTTCCCTTGGAACATTTCTTGTATATCTTTGCTACCAGTCATCAGTTTCAATGTACCTGCCTTTCCTTTACCAGCAAATGCACTTAAAGTATCCAGTGAAGGAATGCAACCCAACTAGTCCCCGACATGCTTCAGTTCTGATGTTGGTGGCAACTTTGTTTACGCCAACAATTCTAGTGCCAGTTTTACTCCAACATTTCATGAATATCGGAAATCCAAATTTGTCAGTGAATGCCAATGCCATGATGAAAACAGCAGAGTCCTCTTAATTGATTTGTATGGCACTATTGCCCTGCCTTGCTGCATGAAGAAGTAGGCGCCCATCTACCTCTTCTTGCAGGCTCTCTGGATATCTGCTATCTCCTCGTGGTCTTGTTATGTGATTATATCAAGTTTGCATAGAGAACCATTCAATACAGCCTTTCTTTAAAACCTTGCTTCATTCATATGCATTCGTTCACAAAAAAACTTTATGAAGCTATATTTTTTGTTAATTGTGCTCAACAAACCGGTTTAGTCTACTGTCTGACGATTTTAGTGTATGTAATGTTCTACAGATGATGGCCATTTTCTCCTATTCGAACTCATCTCTCGCTGTCTCTCGCTGTTTTTGATGAGTTCTCTATGTATGTGTCAAGAACAACATCTATCCTGTCACTGTTTACCCAGGCCCTAAGTACCATTGATTGATTGTATATTGTTTAACTTTCCTCTCGAGACCTATACTCGAAACTCAAGGCCATTGAGCAGTGAGGTTCTTTATCGTGCAATCGCCTACTGTGACACGGGACCTACGTTTTAAAAGTCATAACCGAAATACCCTTGACTTTCACTTCTTATGCCGAGCGCTTGGCGAAGTAACAGTCACTACCTATCTTAACGTTTTAGTTTTGACGCTCCGCCGCGAACAAGAATCGAACCCGAGCGTCCCGATCACAAAGCGAACGTTCTACCACTAGGTTACCGTGTATGGTAAGTGAAAAAACCGTGTATGCAATATCTCCAAATACATGTATAATGTTATCACCTTTAAACTTCTGAACTACTTAGTAAACCAATTGGATGCAGAATTTTCTGGCAGTTGATCAGCTTCAGAAACATTCTTCTGTAACCCTGCTACTAATGCAGCTTTACCTGTCTTTCGAAGCATCCAGTCTGGCACTTGTGGATATAGCGTACGACAACGGTTCTAGTGGGTACGAAAGAATATCCTTCATTTGTAGGTAACGACCTTGTGTGATCACAATTTTCCGACCAAACAAGGTTCTTTCAGCTTTTAAGATTCGCAGCTAGGATAAGGCTGCCCGTAAAATATCAAACTGTTCAAACTGTAGTAACTTCTCTGAACTACCTAGATATGACGTCATAATAGAATATGACGTCAAGTCACTGCATACTTGAGCTGACATGACGGGGAAAGTGTCATAATTATTACACGGCATGTAGATTTATTATGGGGATTTGTGTTTAATTTAAGAGTAAGGGTTGTTTTTTAAGCTTGTGTGTGCAGTTATAATGTTAAACATTTGATATTAAAATGTCTCTATTCCTTTTGCTTGTCCGATATGCATACATTCAAACAACCGATATGCATACATTCAAACAACCGATATGCATACATTCAAACAACCGATATGCATACATTCAAACAACCGATATGCATACATTCAAACAATAGCAAAAGATTATGTTTGAAACGCTCCACCTACATTTCCGTAGACAGAGTTAGAATTTACGAATCGTGATTATATTGGACTGGCACAATTGAAAGACAAGGTTAAATTGAAGATATTCTGCGTGAATCTAAAAGGGAAGTATGTCTTCTAACTGAATTTTGCTGGGGGATCGTATGTAGTTTATCCGTTTTTGTATAAATCGCGATAAAGTGTGGAAAATACCACTCTTTACGTTGGTAATTTTAATTCATCGTAAAATATTTTCTTTAGAAGTAAAAATGAAACCTGCCCCAGCACTTTTTATGTACCAGAGATCACGATGAATTGATATATATAACAAACTTTGCACAATATTTTCGTTCATTTGTGCCGAGGTGATTTTTGTGCAACATTTAAGAATATCAAAAATGTCCGTAACGTGATCAACACAGTCATCTGACATTACAGAAATGCTTTATTATAATACCTGATTAAACTGGTATCTCAAGTTGACTGCAATTTCAAACAAGGATCACATATTGAAATTAAAATCAAGCTCAAAATTAAATGTATATTTTTAAGACATTTGAAGCCTTCGGACAGCCTTATCATAACTGCGTTGCTACACATTCACTTGAATCCACATCCCGCTTTTGACTCCAATTGCTGAATGTCTTACCGGTAAGTCTTTGAGTCTAAATCGGGTCATGGAACTTTTTATCTGATGGATCTGCATCTATACATCTATACTGTGCAGTTATATTGTAGCGTTTAACAGCTGCTCTTTCAAACTGACGCGAGCTGGCTGTTCCTCCAGGTGCCTGTGTTTCTATACTTATGGTGATCCTTTTGGTCTGATCCACAGAAATTTGTCCTGGGTTATTGCCAGAAATGTGCACAGTAAATTGTCCACTTTGGAAGGCTTCATACACACA